AACCCGTGACCAGAGTCTGGAAGCAAGCCACATCAGACGGTATGGCCGACGCATCGTTACCTAGATGGGCGCATGTCGTCCACATGAAGCAAGGCTCATACCACGGTCCTCACATGTCCACCAGTGTGATTTCCATGGCATATTGCGGCCTTCTGCTTTGTGTGCCAAGCTATGGAAACGCACATGGAATGCAGGTACTAGGATGAGTCTCGACCCTAAGGCGGCAGCATCCTACCAATCTCCACTATTCTCTCCACTACTCTTCTACTGTACATGATAACAGCTGCAATGTCTATTGTCTTTGCCAGCAGGACAAGAATAGCAAAAGACGTCGCGGATACTAGCCGCCCAGCCTTGCATGTCTCGCACTGCTGAAATGATGGATTCGAAATACTTGCACCACGGCACAATCGCATCAATGGCGCTGAACCAAAATCATTTCCATTGCAAAACCCTCTTGCCGTGGCACAGGTCCACCTGGTACTATGTGTCAGGCGCCCTGCACGTCAAACCCCTTACAAACGGTCTGCTGCCAGCGTTGTGCAACCAAGTACCCTACCCGCTGCACCTGCAACCTTGTACTCATTTCCCCACAGATGGGCTTACGTCCATTCAACCAGACTGCTAGCTCCCTGCTGATCGCCTTCTTTTGTTCCATGAAACCAACCTTGCACGGCACCATGCTGGCACGGCGTAGGCAGATCTGAGATGATAGTCATAGTCTTACCATTTACCGGGCCTTGGTTAGCCACGGGAGACTACGCAAGTAGCCGTAATTGTCAATACGAGTAGAGCGGTGCGTCCGTGCGTCCGTGCGTCCCGCTGTGTGGACACTGAATACGAGGGCGAGCCGTGTCGTGGGGACAGAATGAGGCGACTGTGTTGATTCGGTTGGAGACGACTAGCAACGACAAGCAATGAGGCGTTAGGCTTCAATCGAGGATTCAGATGAGCAAGCCACGACTTGCAAGTCTCCGCGGCATAGAGTCAGGATATAACGGCAAAGTATATTTGGAGCATGCCGACTCTCTCCTTCTCTACTAGATGCACGTCAGGTGACGCGATCCGTGGTGTCGCGCTGTCTTTATTGAGTATGACGTACATGTGAGCGCGCCCCGGGTTGTTCGTTGCTTTTTCATCTACAAGCCGGCCACCATCAACAAGCCTTGTCTTCTCGCTCCACACGGACACACATGGCCCCACCGCTCAACTCAACTCAAGCTCAACGACATCCCATCATGCCTCCGAAGAATGCGCCTGCGAACGGCGTGCGCAGAAAGGGCCCGGCCTTTAACCCGCCGCGGCCTGTGAACGCGACTTCCCAGCCGACCACGGCCACAAAACGCGCCTCAACAGCTGCCCGACGCGCGAATGGCGCTGCGAAGAAGACCAATGCGACCGCGTCGAAAAGCGGCTTTCGGCCAGTAGATGACATAATTGACCTATCAGACGACGACGACGACGTAGCTGCCGAGAAAGACGCAGACGATTTTGATAGCGACGACTTGGACTCCATCATGGAAGATGTTGCGCCCACTCATTCCGCTCCTCCACCAGCCAATTCTCCGCTCGCAGAACCCGTTGTTCCCCGTCCGCTTCTCGCCCGTCTCCTGCTCGAGAACTTTGACGATCCAAACATGCAGATCCAAACGGGCGCGATGAAGCTGGTGGGCAAATACATCGACATCTTCGTCACCGAGGCCTTTCTGAGGAGCAAGGACGAGAGGGAGTCTGCGGCCAAAGAAACTGGCAGTGTGGATAGTTTCTTGCAGGTCGAGGACTTGGAGAAACTGGCACCACAGCTTGTGCTAGACTTTTGAATAAGAGGCGGGATAATACTCCGAAGATGACATGGACGACATGGGCCATACAACTAAACGCCCAGACACATGCTCAAACATTGAAATGGGTCCCGCAACGGGCAAGTTTGAATACGCAAACAGAGCGCCTCACGGCGGTACGGCCATCATACGTGGTACGTACACGCCTGAGAACCCTTGGGGCCTAGGGTGCCAGGCACTACAAGCGCTTTCTCGAGGCAATGCAAGCCCATGCTTAGGCAGCATTTTCAACGTCGACACCAGACGGAAACTCGTCGCATTAGAGATAGATACGCCATACAGTAGCCACAAAGCGGACAAGGCGCCAGGCCCGAATATGCACTTGTACTCTTCCGTCACCTTCTCGTATGACATGTCATACAACTCAGGCAGGAGTTTCTGTATACCTAATCATAGACGCGGTAATTCTGACATGTTTGAAACATTGCGCAGCGGCGCCTGGCGCCTCAGAACTGTCATACACCGTTGCGCCCATAATTCCAGGTTACCGGTTATGCACAATCTCGCAAACAGACTTTCCGGACGCCTGCCTCAATCGGTTTCCCGCAGCCCGTTGCCACGGCTGGCCTGAAGCATGTTACAGCTGGGCTCAAACACGGACGGAACGCGAAGCGCGTCGCATCCTCCACACCCTGGCCGCGTTTGTCGACAACACCAACATGTCCATTTGGTCTATACCACACAATAGCAACCGCATCAACGGACTCGGAATTCCGCAAAATTTTGACACGTCTCTGGTGCGCATATGTATACTGCATGGTAATAATCATGTTCAAACCGACTTTGTGGTGATCAAATGTCATTGGCGATAACCGTTTCCAGCCTCGTTTTGCAGGGTTCCTTCCCCAGACTAGTCGGCTGAAGCACCATCCGCCTCCAAAACGTCGCAGCTCCAGCCTTACGTATCGGAAAGGTGACTAACCGCCATTAGCCACGCAATCGCAACTCTGCATGCCTTAAGACAGCCTATAGCCCCTCAGTGTTCAGGCTTTTCTCATCATCATCAGCTTCAGCATATCAGGTTTCCTTGTGTGCATTTTCATTGCCTTCTTTTCTTCACAATCTTTTAGATTCTAATAACCAACATCTGGCTAGCCCAGGTCGACTATATCCTTTTTATCACCTTTTTAAAAGCGCTAGTCGCCTTATTACCCTCTCTTGACGAGACTCGATCACCAATCGGAATCTTAATACCACTTTCGCTACTACGCATATCAACTTCACAATCAACAATCAACATGTACTTTTCAAGAGCAACTGTCGTCGCCGCCATCATGGCCCTGGCATATGCCCAGGAACCAGCTGCAGCAGCAGCTGAGAGCGCTGCTACACCTTCAATGGCTGCTGGCATGGGTGAAATGATGAAGGGAGGCAAGGGAATGAACAGCACCGGCATGATGGGCGGCGGCGGCGCAGCAGGTGCTGCTGCAGCTGGAGGAGCCGCTGGAGCTGCTGCCGGCATGACCAAGACACACGTCGTCATGGTTGGAGGTTCAAACGGTAGCTTGGTCTTCCTTCCCGCCGACATCCAAGCCGCAGCCGGCGACTTGGTCCAGTTCCAATTCTACCCCAAAGTAAGTCTCCTTTACAAACTCTCAACACTAGAGACACAATCAGCTGACCCAAACCCACCAGAACCACTCCGTCGTACAATCAACGTTTGACAACCCTTGCGTACCCATTCAAAACATCATGCCCAACAAGACCGACGCCTTCTTTTCCGGTTTCATGCCCACAAACGCCTCGGCCGCTGCCTCAAAGAACCTCCTCACTTACACCATTCGCGTTCCCGACACAAAGCCCATCTGGTTTTACTGCTCGCAAGCCAAGCATTGCCAGGGAGGTATGGTTGGAGCTATCAACGCGTAAGTATTCTATCGTACATCGTCTCATATATCCATTCTAACATACCTCCCAGAGCCAAAACCGGAAACAAAACCCTCGCAGCCTTCGCCGCTCTCGCTGCTAAAGCCCCTGCTACTCTCTCTCCCGGTATGGCCTCTGGCGGCGCCGCTGGCTCTGGCGGTGCTGCCGGCGGAAACACGCCTACCTCGCCTTCTGCCGGTGGCGGCGCCGCGGCTGGTGGCGCTGGCGGTGCCGCTGGTGGCGCTGGTGGCGCTGGTGGCAATGGCACGTCTACTGCTAGCTCTGGTCCTGCGCAAGCTACTGCTAACGTTGCTGCTGGTGGGTTCAACGCTCAGTCTTTCAGCGGCGTGTTTGCTGCGCTTGTGGCTGGGTTTATGGTCATGCTTTAGAGCACGGAGCCTGGAATGTATGATGAGTTGTTCTAGTGTGGAAGACATGTTTACACGCGTTACTGGTGCTGTTGTTTTGTGATACCATTCTTTATCCCCCCCCAGATCGGGGTAAATGAGCTGGACCTTTTTTTGGTTGCTGGGGTTGTGGCAGGTGTCCCATGGGACTTACCTCTGGGTTTTTTCGATTCTCTTCTCTCTCTCTTCTTCATAGATGATAATGTAACATTATTCTTTTTAACATTACCACGTCTGTGTCTTTACGCTTGTGAATCAGGGGGGTGTTTTTTTTCCCAAATTTCTACATTGCGTAGACTATGGGCTTGGCGGAGAGTGTGAGATTGACTTGGCAGGAGAAAGTGAGATTATACTTGTATCGAAAAATGCATGATTCGTATTGTACATTACATATGCAAAACCTTGGCCTTGGGAATTTCTAAATATACATACATGTATGGTGGAGGACGCGTCCTGTCTGTATTTAGCATGGTCTCAATACTTATATGCATGGAAATGAGACATCGTTTCCTTCAGAATAGACAATGACTACTTACCGCGATTTCTGGGGTAGGGAGATCGTAACTGCATCTACGTCATGATGACTTAAGCAGTATTACACCTGCCGAGGCTCCGCATCAGTGTCAATCTTCAGTCAACTTCGTCATCCACTTCGTCATATCAACAAAAGATGCAAACTATATCCTTGAGCAGATCACGGCAGTCTCAAAGCATGATATGTAGTCCTGGGCCACGGACTCACTTCCAGCTCTTTCTCTCCCAACACATCCCATCATGACCCCAAAACCCAAGAACATTGTTATTGTCGGAGGTTCACTAGGAGGAATCCTAACCGGAGTTGCATTAAAGCGGCTTCGGAAAGATCTCAACATCCGCATTTTCGAACGCAACCCAACGCCGCTTCTGCAGGACCAGGGCGCTGGTGTTGTCGCAGGGCAGGATGTGCAGAAGTTTTTCAAGACGCACGATCGAAGCCAAACACCATTGACGGTTCCAAGCCATCAACGACTATATCTTGACAAGGGTGGTAGAGTAATTAGCCGACATGATCAAGAGCAACGGATGACAAGTTGGGACCTGTTGTACCACCTTTTACGCACCAATTACGACGGCACAGAGACCTCTTATGCCAAAGTGCCCGTGTCGGAAGAGAGTGAGGGAAAAACATCATATGAGTACGGTTGTACAGTCACAAAAGTCTCAGTGCCAAAATCATCAGCAGAACTAGATTTCTCAGACCCTGTCAAACTCATCGTCCAGCACAAGTCCGGCGAGACATCGACCATCGAAGCCGACCTCGTCATCGCAGCCGACGGCCCAAGCTCCAAGATGCGCGAGGAATACTTCCCACATGTGAAGCGTACCTATGCCGGCTACGTCGCGTGGCGGGGCACAGTGTCTGAAACGGCGGTATCTCAAACCGACGTCTTCATCGAAAAGTTCACATTCTTCCACACAGACGGCCATCAAATCCTAGCATACACCATCCCCGGAAAACACGGAACCACCCAGCCTGGCGAAAGACTGCTGAACTGGGTGTGGTATGTAAACTACCCAGAAGAATCACCAGAGCATGTGGAGCTCATGACGGATAACGAGGGGATGAGACATCACATCACCCTACCACCCGGTGGTATCAAAGAAGATGTTCGGGCAAGACAGAAGGAAACGGCTAGACAGATACTTCCGCCACAGTTTGCGGAGATTGTTAATAAGACCGAGGTTCCTTTTGTACAGGCTATTACTGATGTTGTTGCGCCGGCTGCTGTGCTTGATGGGGGTAGGGTTTTGTTGCTCGGAGATGCGTTGGCGGGATTTAGACCGCATACTGCTGCTAGTACGAATCAGGCTGCGTTGGATGCTATGAAACTTGCTGGCGCTGTTGAAAGATTACTTGAAGGGGGTGGGGTGGAGGTGCTGAAAGAGTGGGAGGAGGAGGTTATGGAGTATGCGGAGGCGATGCAGAAACATGGTGTTGAGATGGGGGATCGTAGCCAGTTTGGTCAGCATCCGATGCAGAGGTAAAGGAGTGTATGTATTAGAACTGTATAGATGACGTTATTTCTCTTACCTCGTATGGCGCGGTCGTTATTTCTTCCATTACCTTCAATCCTTCCCTTTGACAATCGCTCACTACTTCCTTCTCTCCAGACAGCGTCACTCTTCCCCCACCTTTCCGCATCGCAGCACAGACCCACACCCAATATAAACAAACCGCCCATCCCACACCTTCTCACCAACGCATCACCCGCTTTACCCAACCGTTCACTTCTCATTACCCACCGTATTCTTCCCCACCATGAACAATACATCACCCCAAAGACCATCGGTCTACGACCACTACGCCACTCTAGGCTTAGACATATTCGCCTCAGACGAAACTATATCAGCAGCCATCAGATCATTACGCAAAAAGGTAAGCAAGCCATCGTCCCTTTCTTACGCCAGCTAACTTCATGTGTGTGTGTGTGTGAAATAGCTTAACAAGGCGGAACACACACTCATGAATAAGACGGCAAAAACTCAGTACGACAATACGTATGGCGCCACACATACTGCGTGGGTTATTTAGGAAGACCATAGGAATTGGCAGAGACGACGGAATGAGGATGCGGTTCAGAAGGCGGTGAAGCTGGCGATGAGGCACGTGGGATGTGAGCGACAAGAGGAAGCTTGTGAGACGGAGAGGACGAAGGGGGATGTGGAGGAACGGGAAGAAGGGCAAGGAGAATATTCTGGGTTGCGGGATGGTGAGACGACGGGGCAATCGAAGGGATCCCAGGATGAGGGTCTGCAGGTTTCTGAAGGACTTGGTGGAGCCGGTGCGCCTGCATACGATACGGCTTCCGCTGACACGACGGCTTCCATTACGACGTTTTCCAACACGACATCTCCCAACACGACGTCTACCAACCCGCCTGCTTCCAACCCGTTCGCCCTCCTTATGTCTGCCTTCAGCGCGTATGCCGACAACAAGACTTCCACCAACCCGCCCTCCACCAACACCCCATCTTCCAACACACCTTCCGCCAACACGCCCTCCACCAACCCATGCCCTCCCTCTCCATTCCTCCCCACCAGCACCTCACCCCCCTCGCCCCCCTCGCCCCCCTACTACACCCCACCCTCTCACCCCACCCCCTCGCACTCGCCCCCATCACTCACCAAAAAGAAAGAACTAGCACGCAACCACGCCCAGCGTAAATACATCCGAAAACGACTCGAAGACGTCGGCGGACCGAACTACAAGCACGAAGCCGAAGTCGTCATCGACCTGAAGTGGGAGAATATGGTCAATCCCAAGGGCGAAGAGTGTGAGATTTGTGAGACGAATGTGGTTGCTAAGCGGTATGGGTTGTGGGTGTGTCCCGAGGGGGGGTTGAGGTTGTGTCGGATGTGTTATTTGGAGATGGGTAGGTTTGATGGTTAGGGTTTGGGGGATATGTTAGAATGGGTTTAGGGTTGGTTAGTTAGTGTGTGTTGTATTGGCTTTGGTGTTCATGTCTTTCACGTTGATTACGTTTTATAGATGTTTGAGCGTAGCAGGAATTGCACCATCATCATCATCATCATCAATGTGCTCATATGTACAGCAATAACAGCATACTTCATACAACGTCTATATACAACAAAAAGGAAACATCCTATATACATGCCCATGCCCGCCCTTCCACCCAAAATCCATGTAACCACCTAGATGACATATCATACCTGACACGCCAGTATATAAAAGCTACTATAAGTGCCGTGCACACCTATAGTATTATAGAAACAGGGATCCACTCACACTGTCGCTATCCAGTATTTTCCGTCATCTAAGTGGAAACCAAAAAATGTATCAACAAGAAAAGAACAACCTCCTCAGCTAACCAGAGCCCAAGATAGAGACGCAAGCATTTCTACCAGACCACAACACACAACAACCGCTCTAGTTCTCAAGGTCCCTGGCGTGTCTCTTCCTGGAGAGCTTGGTAACAGCCGGGCCGGGAGTGGGGTAGCTAGTGAAAGGGCTGTAGAGGCTGAAGAGAATACCAGGGTCGGTAGCCTAAGATCACATTTGTTAGCACACATCTTTGAAGAGATAGTTAAGCATAAACTCACCTTGTAGAAGCTAGTAGCAGGAACACCACCGCTCAGCTTAGTACTTCCCGAGCCGGAAACCTTGAAGTTCACGCACTGAGGGTACGCCTGCGCACCGTTTGTCTGACCAGCAGCATGCAGAGCAATAATCTCGTGACGGATGACGTAGTTACCAGGGGCAACATTGGGAATCTTGACGTCCCAGGAGAACTTATTCTTGATAAGGTCGTCGGTAGCCCAGACACCAGGGTTGCTGCCAGACTTCCAGGCGGCGGAGGAAATCTTGGTCCACTTGAGGCTGGCCGGGTCGACCGTGTCGCAGCTGGCGCCGCAGTCGGCCATGTATTCTTGCACGGGGCCGACGTGGGTGCCTGGCCAGGTGTCCCAGACGAACGTGGCTGTGTCGCCGGGCTTGACGGGGACCGAGGCACCGTTGCTCTTGCCTTGCTTGTGGCAGATGATGGCGGATGTGCCGAAGGCGTCGGGCGAGACGAAGCCGTTGTCGAGGTTGTCGGCTTGCCAGCCGACGGTGGCCGGGATGGGGCTTTGGTACTTGAAGGCTGCGTTCCAGCCTTGGAACTTTTGGCCGCCGACGACGACGCTTTCGACGTGGCCGTGGGCTGCCACGAGGGGCGCAACTAGGAGGAGGAGGGAAAGCATGATGGTGGTGGTTGGAGATGGGAGTCGGTGGAGACGACTGGAGAAGAGATGTAGAGAGAGAATGTGTGTGTAAAGTAGAGTGAGTGTCGAAAGGATGAGATTGAACCTGCTGTTGTACTGTTTCCAGAGCATACCATGAGCCGCCTCTTATACCCTCCCCTCCCCATAACTTCATCTATCACGACAGTCTAAACCTCCGCCCCACGTGGTTGTCAATCAAACATATCAATCTAGACGCACACCACAACCTGGTTTCTGAACGCTGCAAGCCCACGCCAGGAAGCCATGGCGGGCGTCGTTTCAATCAATTTTTCGCCGGTATACAAACCCTCTACCCGGTTTCAGCCTCACGTCTGCCGTTCCTGGGTCACTTCCCTGTCTGCCACTGTCTGCCAGGCACTTTGTTCCATGGGCATGTGTGGCATTGTTGAGTCGTGTGGCAATATGGACCGTTCACGTGGTGGTGGAGTAGCGCCGCTTTTTAATATAGTCGATGCAGACTTCTGGCACATTGAAGCGCTGGCTAATATAAGTTCGGCACCTGTAATACCAAAAGACTGGCTGTGGCATGTCTGGGCAACACACTTGGGCTATCTTCTCCTACTCTAAACCCCTGGGCAAAGACGAATTCATCGACTAAAAAAGTATTCACTTGATTCAAGATACCAGAAGAAGTGAAATTGAAGGATTTTAGCCATGGTGGCCAAAAGTCCCGAAGTCCGTTAGTTTCGCTTTTGTTGTTATGGAAATTGGCTGGTTGTACACAGGCATTTCGGTTCCGGTAACACAACAGCCGCTGAACGGTCAATGTGCAGCAACTACCGGGTGTTGTAGCGTTACACTACCCCACGGGGGTCTCGAGCTTACTGACGTTGTAGACTGAGTAGCAAAACGGGCGTTCTCGCACCCATTGGCGGCTATACCCGATAGCGTAAAACCGCTCGCTTCGGGCAATATCGAATAGATTGAACACGGACCGATCGACCCGAACTTTGACTTTCCCCGATGGCCGATGCCATGTCATGAGGCTGCACTTGCGAAACGCTGGAGCGCCACAGGCGCAGCCGCAGCATGAATGAAGGAACAAAAGTCGGGCAGTTTTGGGGCAGTGTGCATAAACCCGTATTCTACCATTCAGAGTTACATGGTATTTCCAGAAGCGGTCCTGATATTTCTCTTGGTGGATGAAAGCAGACGTGACTTGTTCGAATCGGGTAACGTGTTTACCATGTTGTCTAGGTGTGCCCAGGTTTCCAAGCTCTTTAGGTGCATTGCAGTTTCGTAACGTCGACCCATAGCCTGGCTTCTTGCGAGTACCTACATTCCTCAACCAAACGCATGACAGCCGAGTCAAATGAAAATCAATCAAATGTTCGCCATCACCGGCTTTTGTTGACTCGTTCGCAAACACCACCTGATATGAGTATGAAGCCATTTACAAAGATAAAAGACTCACCGGGTTCCCCCGCTTGAAACTTTCGTTACGCCAAGCTTGCCGTGTCGAAAGCATACCTCGAGCGACAGCCTGCCCTGGCAGACATTCTGGTCTTGGTGAAACGATATTCCAAGGCCCGGTGAAACCTCACAACTGCTCCGATCATCCGCCCTTTTGTCCATGATAGAAGAACGCTGTCGCACTGGATGAAGTCTAGACCTAGGTGACCCAGGCATTGCACCTATCCGAGAAGCCGCAAAGCAAATCTTGGCTTATAGTCTGTTAACTATATCAACTGACTGGTTTGCCACCAACTCTTTGGACCGCAGCCATGGCGCACATGCACTGCTGACAGGTATTAGGGGATTAGGGGAGTGTGCAGTAGCAAGCCTGTCAAAGAACAACTTGGCAACGAGCGGAGAGGTGTTTAGAGGTTTAGAGGTAAGCAAAAAGGCAGACTGCGGTCCCAGGAAGCCGCGGACTGCGAGTGATGGACGGATGATTGCTTACGGGCGTATCGCGTTCTTCGGCCAACCGGTCGCGCGCTATTGCTCGTCCCGCACCTCGTGGCTGCTTACTTGATCAATATTCATCGCACCCCCTCCTGCGTGCCCGGTGAACCGATTGGCCTTGGGTTCAAGGTTTTTCGTGTTATTTTTTCAAGCGAGCCGTAAAACTTGGTGATTGCGACATCGAATTCTACACCGAGTTCGGCTCAAGGTATGAAAAGGGTGAAGCGATGCTGATGGATTCTCACTGCTGTCGACGCGCCGAACGATCAGCATCGAATTGTTGGTTGGAATTTGCGTTGGCGTTGATCAATAGCTGTATACGAGGACTGAGAAGTGCAATCACGATAGGACTCCAAGGTCAGGATGAGTAACCAAGATCAATGCTGCAGGGGGAGCCAAATCTGGCAGTGTTATGTTTATTTTGGCTGATGCTAATGGTTCTAGCACGCGCTGCCATGGATGGGTGACATGGAAACCGCTAGAACTAATGGCTTACACGAGGCACACAAGGCGTACACGAGACACGTGACTGGGGGATGAAACACATCAGCTAAATTTGACATATGTACTTTACCAAACTCCAAGATCACCCAAGGCAGCGGAGGGTTGAGAAGAATGTGCGTCATAGCATGTCGCATCATGATTTGGGGTGTGGTCCAAATGGTCTCTTTGTTGCCCTGAGCTCAGTGATCTGGTGGGGTTTTCAATGCTCGGCAAGTCTGAGGTGCGGGCAACGACGCGTCATCCACTTGCTGAGTAAAGTCTGCAACAACACGGCGCTCGTGTGAAGGGTGCGTCGCGGGTTTTCCAGCAGCGGGCTTTTGTATCTTTGTTTCCCGTCTCCTGAAGCGGACGGTCGAATAGCAAAACGGACGATGGGTGGAAGCGCGGAAGATGAGTTCCAAGCATTTCCGAGCCCTTCCAAGCACCCAAGATCATGGGACAAGCGAGAAGCCGAAAGCCGCGCTCGTGCATAGCCACTCCGGATTGCCCGGGCATAACCTTTCCACGCACGTAGACACGCAGATGGCTGAAGCATTACGCGTTCCTGAGGCCAACAGCATGGCGTATCGTGGTCCATAGCGTGTCCGTAGTGGGGAAGTGTAGCTTGTCCTTGTCTGCCGAGCACGTGAAATTGACATGTAGCCAATAGCATCATGCAGCTTCGCATGTTGCCAACGCCCCATTGGGCAGACGTTCGCAGGTGAAGGGCACGATTTAGCAAACCTTGCGGTTCCCGATACGAAAGCGGCAGCAGTATATAGGCCGCCTGAGAGGTAAGCCGTATTTGTTGCCCAGTGTCACGCCTCCCTTGTGGAACGTTTGCCGCACCACATCGCTTTTATCAGCCGACGTCAGCACGACTCCGACCATTCGTTCAATCGCCTTCTGGACACTCTAGCATCTTCCGGAACATCCGCACAACTCAGTCTGACCATCCATTTCTATACTGCCTTCGTCTCACCGTTTGCGACAGACACCTCTGCAAACAACTGCGCATACTCATCACTAGTGTCGTCACACAAACATTTGTATCACAACCAACGTCATGCCACCCGTCATACCCACATTCTCCTTGCATTCAGCCACCATGTTCCTCCACAAAAGAGATAACATGGGCTTCCAAATCGCTCCAACTCTCATCATCTTCCTCACTATCCTCGGTGCTGGTGGGCTCGTGTGCTGCGGCTTCGCCATCTTTCGTTTCTTCGGCGGAGAGCCCGACGATGAGACCCGATTTAATCGATCCGCCGAGCAAGATGCGTATATGAGAGAAGTGCGAGAGCGCACCTTCCGCACCCTCCCAAATTTCGCCTTAAGAGGCCCATCATACTATCCGAATGGAAATCTCAGCCATGCACCGATAAGTCCAAGGTAAGTCGTCGCGCATGCCAATCAATGTATCCAAACTGACTGTCGCAGTGGCACGACCACGACATATGGATGAGTAAACATCCGAGCTATACCCAAATGTTACGAAGATCCACGAAAAACGAAACTGCGCAGCATGCGGTGCATGCAACGTATGCCACTAAATAAGCGTCGATGATGCACGCATCGCTCGGCGTCGAATGACGGCACCAAATCCGGAAATCATAAATCTTGCAGCTGCGTTAGACTGGTTTCTGCGATAGCCGACAAGAATTGTCAGGAGGGTCATTTCTTTTTGATCTGTACAAACGTCAGCCCGGTCTTGGTCGTATGCGGTGTTCATCTCCAGCATCGGACCTTAGAGGGCCGTAGAGATGAGGATGTGAAGGTTCCAACCAACGCGCGAGGGACTCTGTGTCATAAAGCGGATGGTGTCGGACTTGGAAGAGAGGTTGAGAGAAGGGCATCTGCAATGCGAGTTGCCGGGACGTTTTTCCTTTGTAGAAGCGGCGATTGTGTTTTGTAGAGATTCCAATCCATTCCGACGGCTGCGGCCATGCACTCGAGTTTCAGTTTTCTTTCCCATAACAAGCGCATCTGGCATGAAGGTGTTTGCAGTCGAGCCAGAAGATACCGGTTGGGAAAGTCGCAACGTGTGTAACGACCCCAAGTCTCCATGCGACGATGCGCGAGCGATTGAGGACATCAAGCGTCAACTCGAAAGGCCAGGAAATGATAGAGATCCAGGTAATAGACTCTGTATCATCACGTTCATGATTCTGTCCGATATCGTTCAGTCCTGACGGTAGCGCGAATGTCTCTCGTAGCACATTCTACGCTACGCGCAGGGTGAAAGAGTAGTCACGTGCCATACTGCGACGAATCTACACTCTCTGTAGATTTCGTAACGTTGTTGACACTTTTTTTTTCAGTGACGGGAGTGGTGGGAACAGCTGCCGGTCACTAACTGCACTAGAGAGCAGGCTGTAGTGATCCGCTCTGAAGATGCTCACAGCATGGAATCAAGTTGATGTGTACTCAATATATAGAGTGGAAGATGCTGCAAGTTGTTTCCACAAGAGCCCCTATTGAAAGAGCCGCTTATCAGGCTTCGTGATCTTCTGTCTCGATAGCCCCCAGGAGACGCGCACGCCCATCGGCAGCAGTGAAGGGACAACAATTGTCAAAGCCGTAGAGAAAGCGATGAAGACTCCTGAATTTCAGGAGGCATGCTGCGCCTCAATCCGATACTGCACCATTCTCATCTGGGTTGCAGTCATCTCTTGGTGAAATCTCATTCTTCTTGTGTAGGTCTTGGGTGCGAAGAACGAAGCGCGGCCACTGCCAAATTATTCTGCGTCAGGAGACCAGATCTACAGCAGACGTCTGGGCTGAGAAGTCGGTCTGTACAGTAGTGCCGGTGACCATTGTGGGAATGGTGTTCTTCTCAAAGCATCTTGAATTTGCCCGTAGAGTCCAATGCATTCAGCGGGGGGAGTATCTGAGCAAGTCCATCCGGTACATTGTGGTCTGATACGCCCTCAAGCTGTGCAATTATATGGGCGCTCTCTCGGTGAGTGATAAAAGGGATACGAATGTGAGAAACGTGCCCGTGCTGTACGCGTTTTTAGAGGTAAACACTGGGGTATCGGGTTGAAGTGCGAAAGCTGTATCTCGTCTTAAATTCTTGGGAGCCTGCGCCGTCGGGATGAAAATCAAACATTTTCAACAGTCTGTCGGTATACTTTCGAGCCCTGTTGAAGGGGTGCTCGAAACGAATCTCCATTTACCAACTCTGATCTTCAGGGCAGGATCCCACCAGTTCCCGCTCACTTCCGAAATAGCGGCGCAAGCCATTGGCTTGGTACACTGCAGATAATCAGGGCCAGAACCGTGCGGTCTTGTACTGGTTAAGAGATGAGCGTACCTTGATGGATCTCTGCTTGCACTCACCCTCCCATGGCTTGGCCTTTGCATGAAGTCTCTGAGCTGCCATAGCAATCTTAGCAACGAGCCGTACGGTAGACATGATGGAAAATCTGTTGTGTCTTGAGGAGAGATGAGGATGTCCGTTTTCTCGGAAGTAAGCTGGTGGCTGCTGACGCGCTAACCTGTTACAGTCTACCTAGTGCATCCATCCCCTTTAGGCATTATATGCATTTTATACTCATCATATCTCGTATGCGGGAAAATCGTTAGGAAAAGCCCTCAGGTTTACACAGAATACTCTGGTCACGCATGCGATGCGCTCATACGACTTGACACCTTCCACATCTGTGGGGCACCTGCCACCCCCGCACATCGCTCAACACCAACCGCATAGGAGCAAAATCTCGACGATCCCCCCTCCTTGGAGGCATTTGGAGTCATTTGACAAGCTTTCTATGGACCCGACTAGTCTGTTAACATCCAGGTACTTCCGAGCCTTTGCTTCCCCGTCCGGTAAACCATTCGGTCCGCCAATAATCACAGGTAATATGACTGATGTTACCCAATTAGCTTTATGGCAGGTTAGTAGATTCGTTGCCAAGCCCTGGAGTCTGGATCCTAGAGTAAGCAAAGGAGAAGCCGAAGCGGGGTATCGCCACGAAAAAGGCAAGGCGAAGGAGCAAAGCCAGCGAGCGACCATGAGGTAGAGGTAAAAGTAACAATATATATCTCAGACCCTTTGTCGCTATATATTGCTTCTCCACACTCTCCCCTTCAAAGTTCGAGCTCGGTCCGTTACATTCAGCAATATGCGCAGTCTCTTGACCCTGGGCGCAGCCTTGGGCCTACCTCTGCTCGCCTCAGCAGCATGCCCAGATTACAACGATTATTCCAAGGCCATTCACGAGCCCTCCAGCTCCGGAAAATACAAGCTTTCTTATCAACGACCGTCGAAAGAATGCCGGACCTTTAGATCTCAGGGCATTGATGATACTGTCACACGCATGAAGAATGTCGTCAAAGATCCCGATCTATACCGCCTCTTTGAGAATTCGTTTCCCAACACGCTCGACACTGCCATCAAGTGGAAGGGATATGCGGCTGATAACAAGGACGAAGAGTTGACTTTTGTCATCACTGGTGACATCAACGCCATGTGGCTACGTGACTCGTCGAACCAGCTGCAAAGCTATCTCCCGCTTCTCAAGGCGAGCAACGACCCAAACTCGATTGCCAGCCTGTACCGTGGAGTCATCAACCTGCAGGCGCGGTACATGCTCACATCGCCATATTGCAACTCATTTCAACCCCCGGTCGAAAGCGGTCTTGCCCCAGCATGGAATGAATACGGCGTCGGGGATGACGTGTTTCCGAAATTTTCCAACCTCACCGTGTTTGAGTGCAAATATGAGCTCGACTCGCTCGCCGCCTTTTTGCAAATCTCCGCAGACTACTACAACGCTACTGGAGATTTCGAGTTCTTTGGGAAATTCAAGTGGGTCCAAGCCGTCGAGGCTGTCCTGAAAGTCGCCAACGATATGATGCAGCCAACCTACGGCTCGGATGGAGAGGTTCTAAAAAGTCCGTATACATTCGAGCGAGGTACCAACCGTGGAAGCGAGACGTTTTGGAACATGGGCATTGGAAACCCGGTTGCCAACGGCACAGGCCTCATCAGAAGCGGCTTCAGACCAAGCGACGACGTGACCTTTTACCAACTCTTCATCCCTGCCAACATGATGTTTAGTTCGTACCTGGCACTGACTGCGCCGATCATGGCAAAGTTGAGCAATCCCAAGGCTGCAGCCCTCGCGAAAACAATGTCGGCACTCTCGGAGTCGTTGCACCACGCCATCGAGACTCATGGAACAGTTCAGCACGAGACATACGGCAAAATCTACGCTTACGAGATTGACGGCTTCGGCGGGCGTATCATTATGGATGATGCCAACCTTCCCAGTCTTCTCGGTGCGCCCTTTTACAAGTATCCGGTCAACCGTGAGACTTACGATAACACTCGCCGACTCGTTCTCAGCGCAGGGAACCCGTACTACATGCGAGGACCCGTCATCAGCGCAATCGGTGGACCGCACAAGGGACTGGGCAAGGCATGGCCAATGGCTTCGATTGTGCGCATTTTCACGAGCGACAACGATGATGAAATCGTCAAGGAGCTAGGGCAAATAGTGAGCAGTACCGATCGTTTGGGCCTGATCCACGAGAGCGTCAATAGCTTCAACCAGAGTGATTACTCTAGGCAGTGGTTCTCATGGGCGAACGGATTATTCGGCCAGGCCCTCTTGGATCTTGAGGCGCGAAAGCCTGCATTACTTCAGACGAGTTTTCAGTAAGACAAGGGTGGTAGATTAGTGGAGCCACGGGAAATGTCACACACGTGCGGTTTTGCATTTGCAGCCCCAGTACAACCTGATTAAAATGACGTGCCACTGCTTCCTCATGCAATGTCGGCCTTGATAGCGTGCTTTTTCGATCTGGCCGCTCCCTCTGTCCCTGCATGGAGCTAAAAAGAAAGCGGGAGCTTGATTGATGCCTGGGAACGTTCAGGCCTCTGCGTCATCGAGGCAAAAGTAAAGTGCATTATCGATGTATTTCCTGGACCACGGAACAGGCGTTGAGGCGGCCGAAAAAGCAAGCTTGGTTCGCTTGGTGGAAGGGTCGGCTGCTGATGGTCGCAGTCGTGGTGGTCCGGCTGGCGGCATCGTGGGTACCAGTCGGAGCCAGGCTTCCAAGGCACAGTCACAGTTGCAGTCTCGCTTTCGCCGGCGATACTGGCTGGCTAGTAGTGAATTGCCTTCATGCAAGGCTGCGCCGCAGACGGCGCTACGGAGTGGGCTGGTCCGGTCATGGTGATGCTGTGAGCAAAAGTTTGTCGTCGAAATGAGCTCGTTGGTGGGTCGTTCCGAACTTCGGCTTCTATTATCGGAATTTGAGTTTTCCCCGCCGTTGGCCATCACCGAAGACGTACTGTAGTTGAAGTCGAGATGCAATCGTGTACTGTAAGCCAGACTGTAAGCGTGCTAATGCACTTGTGGACATTCGGCCATATGCACCACAAACATGGCGATAAAAGGCCCTTGGCGCATGAAGCCTCGTGGTGGACTGGTGTGTCGTCAGTGGGCCGTCCTTCACGCTCGCAGGCGATCGTGTCAGGGGCCGGCGAATGAATTGGTCCTGTGGCGTCTTTTGGCGTAACCGCGCGCTTTATCGAGTCGTGGAGTCTACCAAGTCTGGCATGCCGTTGGCGAGGTCAGCAAGGGGCCCAAACACCAAACAGGCACGATGCGATCTGACTTGTACGTAGCTCGCTCCCAGGTCCCGAAGAAAAACAAAGTGCCGGACACTCCCTGCACCGCCATGTCCGTTATATCGTTCTCCATGAGACTGACCAAGGCCGCACTCGAGCCGAATGGTGCGTTGGGGACGGCAGAAACTAAGACTTGGGTCCCATACATTGCATCGGTCCCCAGCTGAGACCCGTCGTCGCATTCATCGAGGAAATGAAGGAGCTGAACGTCTCCCCTCCGCCCATGGCCTGCGGCCAACGAGAGTCGCTCATGACATAAGCCCCATAATGCACGTCGCGGATGGCGTGTTTGGCATTACCAGCTCCTCAAAATACTTCTCTCATCCGTCGTCCTCGACACTCCTTCCCTAACATAGCGAGCAGGCGCCAGTGGCTGCCATCCGCTTGGTTCCTGCCCTACTAGCACGAACTACATTTCTGACTGGCGATCCATCTTTACCTTGATTCCCCGTTACGCAGTACTCTGTTGCTTTTTGGACCCCTTCCAATACCGTGTTTCACATAGCCGGCATCTCACCCATTTGTTCATTCGATTCTAAGCGCCAGCCCGCTGCCATCGATCCCATATCCAACATCTTCACAACATCCCGGCGTCAATCCGGCCAATCTTGGACCACCGCGACTGACACTTAGTCTCCACACTCCCACATTTGTTATCTGTCGGCGACAGCCTGCATAAACATCCAGCCGTTGTTTGCTTCAGGATCTCTCCGGCTTGACTTGATTCCCCAGTTGCTCCCTCCCTGGTCAGCCTCGCCATAATCCTACATCCACCTACCGGGCCTAGTTTCAGCGTTTTGCCAAACACTTGCAACACCGCGCCAATCACTCGACGCCTTGGTTCTGTTTCCTGCACCTGCCGAATCCGTCGGCCATTCAGACGGTCCAGGCTGATACATCCAACTCAATCCTCTGCATGCACTACTATATTTGATACCCGGCTCCCTACTAGGATTCTATGCGACACATCAGACCGCTGCCAGGGCTTAGACGCATACGCGCTTCAAACTCGTAGTCCTTGCTGTTATCAGCTTAGGCCATCCCGATATCATGGCCATGGACAACACTACGCTCCATACCTTCTTGTTGTATGTCTACCCCCCTCTGCGCCGCTTACTTTTAGACCCTCACTCATTCTCGTAATCAGTCACTGCCCGACAGCACTGCGTTGTGTTGCCGTACTCGGATCTTGGGACAACTTCTCGCGACCTTATCCACTAGAGCTCGATTCACGCGGGGGCTGTAACATTTGGAAAGGCTGTTTTACCTTTTCAGACATTGTCTGTGACGGAGATCTGCAACAGCAAACATCAAAGCGGAACGGTCCTCTGAAGATGGGTGGCACTTATTGGTACTACGTATGTCATTGTCACTGGCTTTGCAAATACCTCTCACGTACTGACGTACTATAGTACAAAGTCGACGAAGATGAGGAACGCCATAACCCCGCCGAGGAGTCGACTACGTTTTGTCCTCTTTTGCCTGGGCAAAGGCTCAATGTCTTGGACGTACCCCGTGAAGGTCATCATCGAACCACCTCTGATACCACATCTGCATTTACCCGAAATCCAAGAGATAGGTATCTCACACCAGTACCTCCAAAGTCACTGAAGCCTCTACCCACTCCGCATGTACATGCGGCTGCTGAGTCATACCCAATGCCAATGCCCTCACCTTGGACTCCGAGATCTGCGACCCTCGCGCCTACTGAGGGTCTGCTGAATCCATACGTACCGCGCCATGCTCGAAGTGCGTCTGCATCGCCGTATATGCCTTCGACTCCCCTTTTCCCGGACTTCAAGCTGCTCAAAGACAAATTGGCGTCGAAACGAGCTGCATCGAGAAATCGTTGTGGGTCGAAGAACCGAGCAATGGATATCAGTTCACCCGTGCTCGTTAGCGGCGGAGAAGATCTCAATCTCATTCCGCTTTCGGAATATCGACCCTCAATTGAGGCGATCCGTGAGGCAGAGGCAGTGACGAATGTACGCCCGACACCGAGAATAAGGAGGGAATTTTCTCCCTTGGCATCGCATCCTGTAGATCCCGATAGGGATTCAATTTTTGCGCCTGCGCCTGCGCCTGCCGCGCTGCCAACAGTTGCAGAGCGCCCCACTCGACGTCGATCGCAGTCACCTTCTACACTCGTGACGAGCGAGTTCAAAGTGGGGCAAAATCGAAACCGTGCCAACTCAGCCGATACAAGACGTACAAGACATTACCTCTTCTCCAACGACCCCTGGCTTTCATCACCAAGGGAGCAAAGGTTCAAAATCCAAGATCGCCTGGTCGAGGACGACACACCGTCTGCCCCAACACTATCGCGGCCTGAAGTCACTCTTGGAGCACCGACATCCGATGAACGACCAACATCACGATATGGCAACCGTGGCAGATCAGAGCCCCAACAGCTACCACTTAACAAAGAGCTTCCACCTCTACCTCGCTACCTGATGCCCGCTCCTCTCTACGCATGCAACAGCCCAACAACTACCCCACCCGTAGTAGAAGAGCCAATCGAGGAGTTTCAAGAAGAAGCCGACGAAGAATGTCTCGACCGTCTCAGCATCCAATTCTCCATGAAAGCACGCAGTCACTTCTCCACCTGGACCAACGAGTCCATGACATACAGCCCCGTAGCCTCGGATGACGAAGATGACGACGAAGAAGGTCCCATTTCCTCTCCTACCTTTAGCTCCTTCACCAGCAACGACAGTGACATGGATATCAACACATCATCGCGCGGCGGTCTCTTAATCCGCTACTCCTACCTCTCCTCCTCTTCGCAACCCCAACCCCAATCCCATACCTCCATGCCCGAAATGCAAAACATGATCCCCGACGACACCGACATTTCAGACCACGAAACAGACCCCCACCACCCAAACCCTTCCTCAACACCCCCCCAACTCTCCGAACTCCGCATCTCAACCTTTGGCTCCGACCTCTTCTCCCCGGCTCTCAACACGGCCTTGTCTCACGCCTCTTCCACGACGTCGTCGGCTCGCTCCAGTCGCCGCCAGGCTGCTTGCTTCGGCTTACAGTCGTTTCAGTATAGTCTGCCTGGCGACGAGGAGATGGGGAGTAAAGCTAGTCTTGCTGCTGGTGGCGTGGCGGCGGCAGCGGTGGAGAGGGGGAGTGGGGTTAGTGAGGTGAATGCTCTTATGGAGGATTTTGCGTTTTTGGGTGATGCCGTGTTGTGAGTGCGTTTTGTGGGTGAGGGTACGGTATGCTATGTCTGGCATGTAAAAAGATCTTCCTCTTACATCCCTTCGTTGTGTTTTATTTACGTCTACGGCCGCACGTTCTTAGATGGAGATCTATCCCCGCGCCTGTTTGTTCACATTTTCTCTTCGTGTATTTATCGAACTTTTGTGTTCTTTATTTCACTTTTTTTTCTCGGCCTTGTCTCCTTGGTTGGATGTACGGCTTGTGTATATATATACCAGTTTGCTTTGTCTCCTTTTCTTCGGCTTTTTTCAGTTTGTTAGCAGCGATGGCGTTTATGATGGTTACTTGGGTGTTTTTACTTGTTCTCTTCTCTCTGGAGGGAGAGGGGGGTTGGTTGCATATAAGCATGGGCATGGTCATGGCAAGGCATGGTGCATGCGACAAAAAAGATAGAAGTTTCCGCCATCATGGACAAGGCGAGATGAGATGGCTAGTAGTAGCAGCAGCAGCAATAGCACCAATGTGCAACACAAATAAATACAAAGATGACATAAATCAAAACGATCAATCAGTGCAATTCGTATCATTCCAGTTTTTTCTCTACGGAAGCCCGCCTTTGTCCCTGCGATATTCATTGCCCCAATCTTCGCTTTAGCTTCTGCTTGCGTGCCGGCCCGTAAATCAGCCCACGGACACACAGTCTATGATATAGTGTAGTTCTCCGCCACAGACTTGACATCCTTTGAAAAGTTGATTTCCTGGCCCATGGAAAGCAGAGTTACGGAAGAAACCTATGTCATTCAGGATTAGCACACGCCATGTCAAACAAACAATACAGTGAGAGAGAAAACTTACGTCAACATCCACAAAAGGAGTAGTCTTGCTGAAGCGAATGTTCATTGGAAAAAAGTCAGAGTCGCTACCAGCCTGGGCTTCAAACTCGAAGCTACCGGAGCTGTTTGCCTCATCGACGGTGCCAATGTTCCACTCGAGGCTGTCGCCGCTCATTTCGTACACGGCGTCAAACGACGAGACGTTTGGCTCGTCTTGGAACGGGATGGTGACGGTGACGTCCTTGAGGGAGTCGCCGCCTGTGAGCTCGTATTCGACCGTGATGTTGTACATGTTGCCCGACTCCTCGACCCAGACGCGGAACGTGATGGGTGGGTCCGAGATGTCGTCTGGCCGTGGTGCGAGCTTCCACTTCATCACGCCGATGCCCATGTTGGAGGGGAAACCCTTTGTCGTGTCGGCGAGCTGGATGACCTTGTCGTTCTTGAAGACGGTCTTGTCTACCTTGGGGTGCGTCATCAGTTGTGCTCCGCGAGTGTCGCCGGTGAGAAGGTCGAGCTTGACTTGTGTGAAGGAAGGGTCGGTGATCTTGAGCTGCATCTCGCCCTTTACTTCAAACGACTTGAGAAGACCCTCACGGTCTAGTCGTGCCGAGATGGTCTCGTTGGTGGTGATGTGTACGGCTTCACGGTCGGTCGCGGTGGAGGGGCGTGCGCTTGAGGCTGCTGCTGCAGCGGGTGCAGATGGCTTGGGTGCGACGAGCGGTTCCTCTTCAGCTGGTGCCTGTTCGCCAGTCACCTGCTCGTACATGTTGTTGGTCTTGTTCTTCTTGCCAAGCTGCATGCCCTTCTTGCCCAGAGCCAATGGCTTGCTCGTCTTCTTCTTCTCAGCTTCATACGAGTCGTACGTGTCCGTGACGTTGGTTGTAGGCACGCTGGGAGAAAAGGCAGGATAGGAGGGTGAGCGACCGGCCATGCCACCTCCCATGCCGCTGCCCATACCTCCACCCATGCCTCCGCCTGCCCGCTGCGATCGTGACATCTCCTTGCGCTGCATCTCGAGCTGCTTGGCTCGGCGCTTGCGCTCTTCCGACGCTTCGAGTTCCTTATTCCGGGCGATGATCTCCTGGATGCGCTCTTCATGCGACTCCATGTCCAAGAAAGTCTTGATTTGGCTCATGGTCAGGTTCTCCCTGTAACCCAGTGTGACAATCTCGTCAAAGGCGGTAAGAAGCTCAAACGCATTCTTGAGAATCTCGCGCTCGTCGAGGGACTTGCATATTGAGGACACGACCTGGGCAAAGAGGTGCAGCGAGTTGATGTCTTGCAGGATGTTGGATTGCAAGTTGGTGATCAGGACCATGTACAGTTCGTCGAGTGGTTGGTAGACGTAGCGCACGTTGTCTTGTTCGCACGTCGTGTGCTGGGTTCCGCTATCGGCGAGCTTGGGGAACGAGGCCAGGAGTGCTTCAATGCGAGAGCGTTGCATCTCGCGGAATTGGCGCGAGAGGACCGCCTTGCCGCCTCTTGTGCATATCGAAGCTGCGAGGACAACCTGTCTTCGTCAGCTTGGGGTTGCAGACAGCAAGTCTGAGCAATCGTGTCCCGTGCAGTGCCGTACCATTGTGACCAATTCTACTTGAGCTTGCTAGAGACTATCGGAAGAGTGCTGGAAGTTGGTGGTAGCGTCCACAGTATCCTCGACGCGAGGCCGCGGTGTTGGGCACGGCGGGGAATATTATTGAACTGGGAATTGCGCGGTAACGCAACTGTGTCTTCGTGAGAGAGTCAAATAAGGGATGGCGTCAGTCAATCCTGACAGCAAGACACGGAAATGGCAGATATATCCAGAAGACAAGCTGGACGTTGTGCTTCCAGAGCCAACTTGCACCAGTCGCAACACCTGGAGGTTCCAAGTGGACACCTGGAGTCACGTGCACCTGCGTTTGCCTAGCGCCCGTTCCACATGAAAGCAGCCTCCGTCCCTTGGTTGTCGTCAACAGCTCCCCCGCATTGCACCCTACCTACAGCTTATAGCTCGACACCCTTTTCTCCTCAATTCCAGACGCGCATACGCGGTAGCAAAAGCAACTCTCCTCCAAAACTGTGTCCTCGCAATCCTCAAGTGTAAGCAGCTCCTTCCAAGTGTGGCTCCCACCAAAAGCACTTTCCCGTTTTAGCGCGAGTGCGAGTGCGGCAATACGACCGTGCATTCTTTGTCTCATTTGAAGACATCCTCCTCATCCTCACCGTGCATAGGCTTTCACCACCGCAAATCCGCTTGGAAACGCTTCGCCATGCGCTTGTAGCTGCTGCGCACTGTTTGCCCACAAAAAAACTTCTGCGCACCTGTCCCACAGTTTGCGTCGCCACTTTGTAGTTGCACCCAGCTGTGACGCGCTCCCGCTCCCTCATTTACGCGTTTAACCGCCAAACCATCAGCGCAAACACTTCCAGCACGACCCCTTCCACACAATGGCTTCCCCTGTATTCACTGTAGCTGCTGGCCTTGGCCTCGACATGTCCGCTGCCGACGCTATGGAGCTGCAATCCGATGACGGCGGAATCGACTTCATAGACGGCGACATAGAGTTGGACTTTGAGCCCGAGACTTCCCTTGCACAAGATGACGATGTATCCCTTGACGATGCTGCTTCAGCAACCGGGGAGATGCAAGATGAACATACTGAAAATGACGACTACATGGTCGATCAAGAAGATCTAATCGAAGAAGATGAGATAAACCCAGATGATGACGGTGGTGTAGACATCGATCTACCCGCTGTGGACGATGCCATAACTGAGGCTGCAACCCAACCGACTACTACCAACGGCGATGAAGACGACGAGTTGCTCGACTACACCGAAGACGAAGAGTACCACAATCCCGCGAATCGTTCACCGTGGTTCAAGAACAAGCAATGGGAGCATATTAAAGATGAAGAAGCTGATGTACCCGTCGAACAGCAGAACGAGACAACCGTATGGCAACAGCAAGAAGACATGATACAGGCTCAAGACTCCACTGAACAGCATCCGACCGAACAGCAAGACGAGACGCCCGCGTTCCAACCACATGACTGGACTCAAGCTCAGAATGACCAGACTCAGGATGCCATCGAACAGCAAGATGAGACTGCGTTCCAAGAAGATGACTGGACCGAAGCTCAGAATGACCAGGCTCAGGATATCACTGAACAGCAAGAAGAAACGTCAGCTGAGTGGCAACAGGAGTCCACCGAGCAGCAAGAGGAAACATCGGCTGAGTGGCAACAGGAGTCCACCGAACAGCAAGAGCAAACGCCGGCTGAGTGGCAACAAGAGTGGACGCAAGCCTACGATGAGCAAACTGAGGACGTGGCTGGACAACAAGAGGACGTATCCTCTGAGTGGCAACAAGGAGACTGGACGCAAGGTCAAGATGAGCAAGCCGAAGACCCAGACCAACAGCAAGACGAAATACCCGCTGACCTGCAAGCCATGATGTCTCAGTCCTCAAACAAGAAGTCACAGAGCCCACAACCACACAGTCAGAACGTAGAAGATCACGGTTCGAATGAACAACAAGCTGATCAGCATGAGCATGAAGATGAAGATGGATATCGGCCGCAGTCGGTCAATCAGAACGAAGACAATCAGAGCAGTGGTGATTATGATGGTGTCTCGTTGCAAGGTCAGAAAGAATTTGCAGATGGAGAGACTGCTCACGAAGAACCAGCGCAGAGCTATCATCATGATGAGTCTGCTGAACACAACGAGTCTCAAGACCAAGAGCCATTCGCGATGCCGTCCGTAACTATCAATTACGAAGACAACGAACTATGGCTCTTCAAGCAACATGATTTCGACAACAGTGGAGATTGGCTCATTGAAGACGTTTCGCTCGCCAAGGCAAGCATGTCTGATCTCATGCGCGCATGCCGCTACTCTATTGGCGATGACGTGTCAAACGAGATGGAGATTGGATTTCGGTTCGATCACTTCTTGAACATGGAGCTTTACGAAGACAACACGGCGTGCGTTGCAGTGTCACTTGAGCGTCTTGTGAACTACTACCACACGCTGTATGCAAATGACGGCAACAACGAGCCAGAATCCTTCTACATCACACTCCTGTTCCGTCCCCGTTTTGCGACCTTGCTCTCGGATATCGCCAAATTCGCGGATCAGGGTCTAGGTTATTCTGCTTTTGATGCCGCGGTAGCTGCAGGCGAGACGCATTTCAGTGCTGGTGTTGCGGGTACTTCGAGTACCGAACCTACAGAGTGGGACAAAGAAGATGAAGAGAAAGGAGATGGCGAAGAGCAGGAGCATGTGCAGAGTGAAGTCCAATCAGATGCGCATCATGATGAGCGTGACCAGGGTGAAGGAGACGACACGCAAGAAACTTATGGGGATGATGCTGCTGAGGTTTACGAGACAGAAGAGGTCCCCACTAACGTTGCGTCTCATGACGAGCATGGATCACACCATGAAGAAGAGCACGAACCGGAGATTACTATCTCTACTGACATGCCCACAAACCCAAGCGAGACAGCAGCTCAGCCTGAGCGAGAGAGGTCGCGGTCAGCTGCACCGACTGAAGCCGAGTTGGAAGCCCGTCGTTTGAAGGATGAGGCTGATCTCATCGACTACAGCGATGAAGAGGATGAGGAACCTGCACCTGTCAAGGGAGTGGAACAGGCGCCTGCTACCCAGCTGACGCCGTCGTCTACAACTGTACGAGGTGATGAGTCTGGCAATGCACATGGACAAGAATCTGCCGCAGAGTCACCTCGACTCAATGAGCAGACTAGTCAAGACCAGGATAAGATCGATTTTGACACTGCAGACGAGCCGCCTGCGGAGACCCAACAGAGTGAGCCAGAAGGCGAGAATGTCGACGAGCTCTCGTACGAGGACTTTGTAAAGGCTTTCGAAGCAGACGACTCTGACCCGGAATTCGACGTCGAAGAGGCCGGTAATGACGGCGCAGACGTAGAGTATGACGGCGATGCTAACCAAGCCGACGCCGACTACGACCAGTATCAGGACCCGGACCAAGAAGCTGAGCAAGGCTTGATGAACGGAGACGGATCCGTACTTGAGTTCGACTATTCTGGTAATACCACAGTAGACAACAATGATTTCACCAACACGGACGACTTCTTAGATTTAGACAATGGCGCCGAATGGGCGGCCTACGACGAGTCAGGCCAAGGCAATGCAGAACTTGCGACGATTGGACAAGACGACGCTGGTACCGTAGACGAAGAGGACGGTGTGGCTGGCAAGACTGAGAGCGCATCGGCTGCAGAGCCTCAGACGGCCTCGTCTGTCGACGCCAACGAAGTGTCCCCGCAGGGACAAAAGCGGACTATCGACGAGGCTGGGCATGGAGCGGATGCCGCGACCAACGCTACAGGTGGGCCCACTTGCTTTGTATGTCGCAAGCGAAAATTGGGTGCTAATTCCTTCCTTCTAGACGTCAAGCGCCCTAGGGTGTGAAGGTCCGCCGTTCTCTGAGTCTACGGATGCTTCAAGTCTACTGACTACCACGTTTCCTTACGCCCCTTTTTCGACCCCACACCCACTTGAGGTAATTTAATTGTATACTAACAGCAGATGCGACCACCATACAGCCCGCGTTGCCCGACGACGAAGTTGTGGAGGACCATGTCTATCACAGGTAAGAGGAAGCGCCATGGTGCGCGGTTTTCTTTATTCAGCTTGCCCACGGGCTTGTTTTTCGAGCGTTGCTTGCTTGCTTTTTGGGCGTATTTTGGGCGTACACGGAGGGGTCGGAGAGTTCAAAGGGCATTTGGTTGGATGGAGAAGGCGTATGGCATGGGGAGGGTGGGGTGGGATTTGGAGGGCGTTTTCGGCCATATACCCCGTGCTTTGAGACTTTCTTAATATACTTTGAAAGGGCTCCATAATGACGATTGAATTGGATTGAGTTGAATTGAATGCGCACACACATGGTTGAACACATGGTTGAGGACATGGACATGGACATGGTGATGGAGCCAACTGCCGAGAAGGAGCCGGGTAGGTTCACGTGTTGTGGGGGAGATGATGACGACGCCTGCTATTTTAGGTTTACGAGTCGCTAAAGATGCCCTTGCTTGCAGGTGCGGCTCGTGTAAAACTCCGGGGGGCTTTCCCAGAATAGGGCAATAACGAGTAACGCAGCCGTTGCAGGAAGACAAGTCAGGGCGCGGTAGTGCACGTAGACAAGGTTCACAATGTGTGCAGACTGGGCAGATGGACTGAAATGTAATTGTCTTCGTGCGTTGCAGGCGTGCCGCAGGTTGATCAAGATCCAGCAGGCACTCAGCTTGGCGTTTCTGAGGCATCGATCGAGACCAGACGGCCAGGGCACAGGCCAAAAATGAACGTCTCGTGTTTGACGCCAGCCCGCAGCTCAGCCGTGAAACCGGATGGCCCGAGGAATGCGGACCGCCACACAGCCACCTTGTTGAGAGTTATCGATAGATGGCATTGCGCTGCGCTTTTCCCTGCGAGTGCGCGGAGTCAAGCAGCCTCACCTTCTCTCCCTATTTTCATTTGATTTTATCGCTTCCTTTGTTTCGAATTCTGGCCCGCTCGTTCGCTTTGGTGGCATCTTGACTCGTCCGACATTCGCTCGACAGACTCTCTTCAAGAGGACCCTGGACAGGCACAGAAAGCGTTTGGTGAAACGCGAATCGCTTCTTGCGCAAGCTATCCCCGACCTGTACTGTCGCCTATCACAGCTGTATTCTGGCAAAGACTAGTCGTTCGTCACGTCCTCTGTCGCATCCCCAACTACATCTATACCCTATCTTGGCCGTCGCCCAAATCGCGCACAGCGCCCCATCGCTCCTTCCAGCTTCCTAGACCGGTTCGTTTCCTTGCTTTAACGCGCACGCTATCGATAGCCCACCCACCACACGACGCACGACACGGCAGAGCTTCTGTGACCACCACCCGCGCACTTTCACACACACACACACACTTTCACATCCACATCCACATCCACATACGCACTTGCACCAAGCCTCACCGGCGACGCGACTCCTCCGACAGTAACTGGCAGGCACAGACTTCGACAGGTCGCATAGACCTAGACCCCATCCATACACGGCGACATCATGGTGGAAGACAAGTACGCATGCTGCGCCTGCACGCAAACGTCGGGAAACTGACGAAGAATACCGAATATGTAGGCCTCATGCTGGCCGTGAGCTCCCTCACTCGCCATTCGGGCGCGAGGTTTTGTCATTACAAAGAAAGGGCTAAATGCCTCCATCGAGAAGCACGGCTTTAATGGCGACGGCTTCGGATATCTGCAGAATCCGGTATGGTGGGCTGGAAATAACGACAAGTGAGTGCGCACAGAACAAATCACGTCAGCGCATGTGGCTAATACGAAGAAACAGTGGTACTCGGCGAGATATTCAACTTTTGCAGCTTACGCCTTCGCTCCGGCCATCCTCGTGACCCCGCTTGGAGCCCTCTCCGTACTCATCGGCGCTGTATTGGGCTCCTACTTTCTCGACGAGCAGCTCGGCTTGCTGGGCAAAATTGGTTGCGCAATATGTCTGATCGGCTCCGTCATCATCGTCCTCCATGCCCCACCTGACAAGGAGGTCGAGTCGGTTGAGGAGATTTTGAATCTTGCCCTCCAGCCTGGTACGTCTGACGCACCTTTTTCCCGAGCTTGGAACACGGTGCTAACTGCATGGCTTCAGGCTTCCTCTTTTACTGTGCCTTTGTCGTCGTCTTCTGCATCGTCATGATCTACAAAATCGCTCCCAAATACGGTCGCAAAAACCCCCTCATCTACCTCTCCATCTGCTCGACATCCGGCTCCGTCTCGATCATGTTCATCAAGGCCTTTGGCATTGCGCTTAAAATGACGTTCGCGGGCAACAACCAGTTCACCCACCCTTCGACCTACGTCTTCGTTATCCTGGTTGTGGGCTGCATCCTCACGCAGATGAATTACTTCAACAAGGCCCTCAGCCAGTTCTCCACCAACATGTATGACTTCACACCACCTACAACTTCATTTCTCATACTGACTTGTGCGATTAGTGTTAACCCTCTTTACTATGTAACTTTCACCACATGCACGCTCGTTGCATCGTGCCTCCTCTTCCAAGGCTTCAACACCACCTCCGCCGTAAACACCATCTCGCTCCTCTGCGGTTTCCTCATCATCTTCTCCGGTGTATACCTCCTTAACCTCTCTCGAGAGGACCCCAACGGCAACAAACAACTCGGTTCGTGCTTCACCGATGGCCCACCATCCGACGCCATGTCCGGCTTCCCTACCCGACACAGCATGCAAATCCGACGCAGCGAAGATTTATTTGAGCGTCATTCAAACGCCATTGTCCGTGATAGCAGGAGATCCAGCTACATGGATGCTGGCGATAGAGGGGCGCTGATGCACGACTACGATGTCGAAAACCAGTTCGAACTTGGCGACTTGGCCGACAGCGACGATGACCTAGAAAGCGGTCAAAGCACAAAGCGGACAAGCTTCGACGAGGAGACAAGGATAAACGGGAGATTGAGCGGAACAGGCAGAGGCAGAGTACAGAAAGAGTCTGTACAACCGAAACGGAACTCGACCCTTCGGTAGAAAGACGACTCATAAATCTGAGGCGTCTGCGGGAACAGGTGCCCGGTAACATTGCCTGTATTTGGCTGATTTATGGGGTTATATTGGATCGCATCGCGGAGTTTGAGGCGCTTATTATGCCATGGGCCCAAGGGATGGGAGGAGGCGCTTGTGTTAAAGTGCCGGTCACTGTACTTGTACGATGAGAGCATGATGTTTATACCCAGAAGCATGGATGACTTGGAAGGGTATTATCTCCTTTGTAACGAACTAGCATTAGCAGACATTAATTTCATTATCAAATATTCACATTTATATCCTGACTTGCATTTCTCAAACGATGCGTGCACTTTGCAGTCAATGTGTATAATGGGCAACGTGACAACGCGAGTGCGCTAACCAAACTTCGGGCTAGGACGCGAATGCGCAAACAAACCACCACCTTGACCACTCAACAACCTCAACAACGGCCGTCAAGGCCGCACCCTGCACTAATGGCGACCGCCAGCTCACCCAAAGAGCGCCAGCTCTTGCAGCAGGCGGAGAAGATTCTGCTGCACCCAATTCATCCGCACCTCATTTCCTACTGTCCTACCATGGACCTGGTTGCAGTGGTTACGGATGAAGAGAATCTGGACGTCTACAGGATCAATGGGCAAAGAGCTTTTGGTTTAAAGAGAAAGAGTGACGATGTGAGCGTTGTCGAGTTGCAATGGGAATTCAGCGGCAAAAGCATCGCTGTTAGTTGGACTGATGGCAGTACCGACCTGGTCAGTGCCGAGACGGGCAAGATTACGCACAAAGACCTTAGACTGCCAGAAGTTGAGGATGAGACACCAACACAGGTCAAATGCATGGGCTGGGGTCTGAACTTTATCAATGTCGAAACTGTGAAGAGGCGGACGGGCTTGAAACCAAAGACGAATGATGGTACCACGCCTGCGAAGACGGACATTTTTGGGCATCCGACAACAGAGGACTGGGATGGCTTGAAGGATGACACGACGCTCGAGGACTTTTTGCAGCGACAACCTGACTTCCAGACGTTGGATGTCGCGCCGGATCTGCCTGATCAGCTCGCTATGATGGATATGGAAGCGCTGCTACCGAAACTTCCTGCGATACCACTTCCACCAGCATTACCGTTTATGCGCGTTTCTCAGGCGGACTCTGGGGCGTTAGTTTGCAGGCAGAGGTTGACTCGCTCCTACATTCGTATCACCTCAAGGACAACAACTCGGTTGACATGTTCATACGTCTATCAGATCGCGGGACCGTGCATCCTTCCATTTACGATTCCCTGGAGACTGTTAGTGTTCAATTGCCAAAGGCTTGGAGCGTCTTAAGCACTCCATTGCTACATACAAGTCATCCTTACAGTTGTACGCATGGTCTCTTGATGGACACTAGACTCAGCTCCTCGCCCACGAAGAAAAGTATAGCTTATGTTCCGTTGACTCTGAACTTTATACCTTCAGCAGGTATCTACCTCCACCTCATCGCGGCAAAGACATCACAGCTACAAAATCTACTCTTGTATATTACACAAACGCTCCAACGCATCCGCGCCTTCTTCAAGCACTCGCAAGACCTGCCCCGAAAATTCATGATGAACATTGAAGAAACACTCGAAGAGAAGGGCCTAGGCGACCTCGTCACCAACCTCTTCCACATAGCATGTACAGGACACTGCAACCCAGTGGTGAAGGAATGGCTCGTCGACGAACTAGCAGAAGGAGGCCACAAACGCTGGGACACAACCGTCACAACATCCTTCACCACACTCCTCGCTCTCCTACACGAAAACCTCATCCCGGCACTAGACCGCTGTTCGATTGTGATATCGCGTCTCCGGGGGTTAGCCCAATTCCACGACCGCGACTGGATCTTCTCGGGCCCAATCTCAGACTTTACAGCCTTACTACAGACGCTGAAGAAAATGCGCCTCCTAGCCCACACCGCCATGCTCTACGCCAGCGAAGAGAAGCGCCAATTCCACAGCTTCAGCAAATGGCTCCGTTTCACAATCGACTTTGAAGCCACAGAGCCCGAGTCGCAGTCGCGCACGGAAATGGAGCAGCGCGACGCTGGAGTGGATATATCGCAGGTTCTGGCGTACATCCAGTACGGTCTCACAAAGTCGGATGTGACGCCCTTTTTACGACCTGAAGCACAGCTCGATCCCAAGACCAAAGCCAGAGACGAAGCGAGCTACGGCGACACGAATAAAGCGATTGAATTGCTGAAAGAAGGCGCGAGTTTCAAGGAAGAAGCTCTGTGTCTGGAACATGTAGCCGGTCACTTGAGCACAGGCGTTACAGGGCTGTTGAAACAGGTTAGTAAATGGCAGGAAGCTAATATACAAATGGACTCTGGTATTGTACTCGAAGAGGGTGAGAAGGACGATTATGAAATCTTGGATATGAGGATGGTGTTTGATGTACGTTCCCCCTTCCTTCCCTCCACACCTAATCATTACTAACCCTCTCAGCCCCTAGCACCCCCACTACCAGCATCATCGCCATCACCCGCAGACGACACACCAGAAGACCCGATATCAACATACATACTCCTCTCCCCCCCATCCAACCCCTCCACCCTACACATCCACCGCATCACCCACGCACCCAATATAACGCACCTGGCAAAAGATACGCTGTCGTACAATGTGTCTACACTGGATTTTGCATCTTCCTCCTCAGAAGCTGCGGGCCAGCAGACAAAGATTCTGGATGCGAAATTCGCTGATGATGGTATGGTGTTGCTTCTCTTGCAGCAAAGCCAACCGTACAACACTACGGCTAATCAGGAACAACATCGCAATACTATTATATCCCTACCCTACACATCCACACGCTCACCAACGACCACTTCCCCTTCACTCATCTTCCCCGATCCCCGATCCCACACTCCCAGCACAGCACTACCACCAAAATCCCTCCTCCCAAAAGGCCACCCCGCACCGCTATCCCACCGCAATACTATCATCATGACACCCCCCATGCTTCAAAAATACACGCGTCATGTCTTCGAAGCAAGGTTTACGCCGCTTAAGCTTGTGGTTAATGGGCGCAAGGGCCGGAGGGTGATTGTAGTGTTGGGGAGTGATTGTAAACATTATCGCGTGTTGGATATGGATTACAAGGTTAAGAGGGGGAGGAAGGAGGGGGATGGAGGTGGGAGTGATGGGAACATTGATAGCGAGGATAGTGATAGTGATAGTGATGAGGAGCGGGGTGGAAGGGGAGATGGAGATGTGGAGATGAGTGATGCTTGAGAAGGGGTGAGCAGAATGTCATATACAGACTCTAAGTCAATCCCCAAGTATTGAGACAACAAATGACAAGCACCCAAACTCCGTTATGCACCATCACAAACAAACAAAATATCAGAAGTGAAGACAGATGCATTTTATCGGAATCACATTCCCTAAGAACCTATCATGCACGCAAGCCATAGTAGGAAAAAGCCTAGCTTGCCGAGAAGTTTCCATTTCGTTAGAACGCCCGGCCATCCGCATAGAGCGGTATGGAGAGAAAAACCGACCGCATCATCGTCGTTCCTGTCGTTGCCCAACGCCACCAGACTACAAAGCAACACTCTAGTCCTTTGTCTTCTGGGTACCACGGAGCAGACCTGTCCTCCGCGCGGCAATGAGACCGGCCTTTTGACCCTGGGTGGCGTATCTGGAGATGGTTGAGGCTTTACCGATATGCTGGTGGTTACCACCACCGTGGGGATGGTCGACGGGGTTCATGGCAACACCACGAGTCCTGGGCCAGCTGTTGCGCTTGGCAGCGAACTATGATTGTTAGGGATTGTGTTCATCTTCGAGCATGAATATGCATACCTTGTGCTTAGCACGCGACGCCTTCATGAGAGGCTTGTCTGTGCGGCCACCTCCAGCGACGATACCGACCATACCACGGCATGAGCTGGGGAGAACCTTCTTGGCACCAGATGGGAGCTTGACACGGGTCTTGCCCTCATCGGGGTTGTGGCCGATGACGGTAACGTAGTTACCAGAGGTACGGCCGAGCGCACCACGGTCACCGTTCTTGTCTTCGACGTTGGTGAGGACGGTACCTTCGGGGACCGAGTGGAGAGGGAGGACGTTGCCGATGGTGAGCGCGGCGTTCTTTCCGGCGTAGATGAACTTTTGCCATGTCAGTTTGTTATCCCAACTGCCATCTCCGTTATTTCCGACTAACCTGGCCAGTGTACATGCCCTCGTTGGCGATGAAAGTCTCGGTGTTGTGCTTGTACTTGTATGGGTTGCGGAAAGTGACCCTGGCGAGAGGAGCGCCTAATCGCAATTTCGTCAGTTGAGGCTCTGGAGGTCGAATTTTATATGTCGGTACTCACCACGACCGGAATCGTGGACAATCTCCTTTACGACACCCCGGATGTATCCATTGCGCTCAGCCTGTGCCCATTAGCCTGTATCCAGTGTGTCCAAGTTTGCGATGGCGGGCCATGGAACGTACGTAGTCGAGCGTGCGGAACTGGGCCGGGTTCTTGTTCAGGCGGGTGTTGGCCGTGAAGATCGAGCCGCGACCCTTACGTTGGTTGCGAATTACCCTACCCATGGCGACGACGGTGTTGTTGTGAGTAGGACGGTCGTTGGAGGAGATGGAAGTGTGCGAGAGCGTAATTCCTGCCATTAAGCGAGTGTGTGTTTTGGGTTTAGCGCCGCACGGATCACGCACCTCGCTCAGCACCACCTTGAACGTCTCCAGCACTCTTTTATTTCATCTATTTCCTATAGGGCTGTCTAACTCTCTTCGTGATGGTCTACGCATTAATTTCAGTATAGTACTAATATCGCAAGCGTCGTGTTGTCTGCACTTTCGCTCGGCTGTGAAGCATTCTTCAGCCAGCAAGTCGCGGCTATATTATCCTCGTACTCATAGCTCAAGCCGTTCGTTATCGTAACTGCTCTACACTTTACAGATCCTGCCAAATTTTCATTTTACTGCATGAGTTATCAATCCTTATAATTGTAGGCGGGTTGGAAATATCTGTTGTCGATGAAGATGGCTCAGCGGAGGATGTGGACGATGAGGATGACGTCGATACAAACGCAGCACTAGTCGTCTAGGGAAATGAGGACGACGTTGAAGCATTCCTCAAACTGGTCGACTGGGAAAGTACCGCTGATACTTATGTCGCACTGTTGACTTTTGTTAGTGGTGTGCGTGTAAAGATGCATCTCCCCTTACCTAAGTTAGCTTTCTGAACCGCAAACACGCCACCCACGCTTCCACCCACAATTCCCATAATCAAAATCATCGTAAACCCCAGAAGAATCCAAATATATCACCGTCGCAAGCCTAATACGGTCAAATTCCGTAGCAAAGCTCCATCGCTTTTCCCATATTGGACGACTGCAGCAGTAGCCCTTTCGAGGAGTTGTAGCTGTACGCCAAAGTCGGCTGCTCATCACTTTGATCGACTTGTAGATCCGAATGGTTGTATGCTACTTGTGGCGCGTCTGCCATTGCGATGTGCTGTGTTGGTACAGCAACGGATGGAAGGTGATCCGTCACAATTCTCCATGGTCAGCTACTGTCCCTTGTGCCGCATTGAGAGCTGCGAAGGCTGAGCTGAAGAGATTGCACGAAGACAGTACTGTTGTGCATCACGCCACTTCAAATTCTGCAAGTGTCGAGCGCATCGTCGTGTTTCAAAGATACGGTGAGATTGGGGGCCACGACCATGACATACAATCACGCGCCTGATTGACCTGCTGCTACGTAGGGAGTGACCAAATTCATATGTTATTGACAAGCTCATACAACAAAATATCTTAAGTACATGTCACCAGCCAGTTCTTACTACGGTAGTAAGCACCAAGAACTCTGTACATTTGCTCTGCTGACCAGCAATCTCCCCCTTAATACCTAGATGAAAATAACATCCTAGGACCGATAATGTTGGTCAGGTTATATTCGGTAATGCCAAGCTTTGAGCCATAACCTTGCGGATAAGAGAACTATCGTTCACACCGAGGTCCTAGCCACGCATGCAATTTACTGCGTGTGAGAACGACGAGTTCAGCTGAAACAGTCCGTCAGTCCCAATACGAAGGTACGGGGTTGTCACGTTACATTTTGGGTCGGTAATCATGTTCAGCCGTCCACAGGCCGCTGCTGTCACAAGCTTTGCAAAGTGGTCAATCAAATAGGGGGTCCCCACGCGGCTTAGGTTTTGTCTTGGCTACCCAACGGCTCAGCTATTCGAGGTGACTGTGAATCTCACAACTAGGAAGAACCTCTTCAATACTCAACATACGTAATATAGTCAAACCTCTGACGATCAAACCAGTGCAAGAAACGCAGGCTTCATGATGGATGGGATTCTATAGCACACCTGTGTATTTAGCAACTACTATGTGCACCGCACAGTGTATATGAACACGGCTTTACGCCAGCAAGCTAAACTTCTTAACACAGGAATCATGAATCACCAGAGATACTGTGTGACCACTTCCAAGCACCGACTTCTTCATCACATCTAGTAACTGTCGGGACATGCGCGTACAGCCAGCCCGGCGAGTTTTTCCGGGCCGGAAGCTTGGACCACTAGTTAGACCAAGCTTCCCGCTTAGCTCGCAACCGTACATATGGAGATCTCTCCATCCAGCTCTTGCTCACTACTAATCAAATACTATACACTTTGTTCGTTGCAACGACTGCTAGTATTCGACACCTTTGCCGTGTCAACAGTAACAAACTCCAAATATCTGGCTACAAGCTTACTCTCCGCAGCATCTAGTCCATACTCTCAGATCTCGAAATCAAGCAATCAAATTCTCACTGCACAACCAAATTGAGACCATCAAATGACATGAACAACTAAGATTTTCATATTTTCTACTGCTGCCACACTCGTCAAGAGGACAGACCAAAAAAGGCTAAATATATACATTGCGATGGAAAAGGGTCGCAGGACCCCGTCCACAACAAAAAAGAAAAGGTTAAGATCTGCACAAGAAATGAAGTCTGCTCTAACTCTCCATCCGAACCAACTACAACCAGCCTTTTATCCAGAAGGAAGGATATCGTGCATGGGTTGATTTCCCAATCTCACTCGCACTCAAGAGCTCAAGAGCTCAAGAGAGAGAAGAAAAGACGCTACGCGCCATCTATTTTCCAGAGATGGTGTAGGCAGAGTTACCGGCAGCATTGCCCCAGCCCTCAGTGGAGAGAGTCTGGTAGTCGTGGGTACCAAGGTTCATGCCGAGCTTGGCCCAAGCGTCGAAGTGGCACTTGGTGGTGATGGTGCCGCTGCCGGGCCTCTTGCTCTGACGGTTGGAGATGTACTGGGTGAAGGTGGTGGTGCCGACAATGGAAGGCTGATTGACCTGGGTGTGCTTCCAGATGTCGTAGACGGAGCCGTCGCAGGTGACGGTGCCCATCTTCTGGCCCTGTGCGGAGCCGGAGCCGTTGCTGGTGTACTCCTGGACGTAGTACTCAATCAGGGGGTTCTTGGTCCAGCCGTAGACGGCGACGATGACGGTACCGGCTTGAGCCTGGGTAGAGCCCTGGAAGCTGATGGCCCTGTTGTGGTGTGTTAGTTTGGTGATCAATGAAGAAAATGGAGGAGTAGATGGCTTACCTGTTGGTTCCCTTCTTCCATCCCTTTCCGACGACGAAGTCACCGGCGTTGGAGAACTTTACAGAGTATCCATTGCTGGTGGACTGGAACTGGACGTTGCCGCTGGTCTTGTAGTTCTGGTCGTAGTCCTGACGAGCCATGAGGGACTTGGTTCCGCTGATTTCAAAGTCAGGAACATCGGCGGTGGGAGCGGCAAAGGCAGAGCCAGCAATGGCCGAAACGGCGAGGACGATAGAGCTGAAGGCAACCATTGTGAAGTGTTGGTGGTTTTTTGTTGAGGTGTTGGTGATGGATGTGAAGAAGAAGAAGGCAGACACTCAGTGTACAGCGAAGAAAGGTAGTTGTAAAGGTAGACTGATCGAGTAGAGAATGGAAGGCGATGAAGCTGATGATTCTACTTGGTCGACACCGTCCTGTACCTATATACTCGCTCGAGGAAGAAGTACGGTTAAACAGCCTCAGCGCACAAACGCATTTCCTATATTAACAACTTGTTTCAAGGGCATAATTGCCCATCTCCCGAACCGCCACTTTTCTCCTTGTGACCTTGTCGCCTTGCTTGCCTGCCGCAGTCCAGTTGTCCATGTTTCTCCGCCAGAGCTGTCGTCCGAATCGGTCCTTAGTACGCGTTTCCACCAGTCAGGCAAATTAAAAACGACCCCTGTTTAATTAAGCTGTGTCAAGAACCGGCCAAGCTACGGTTAGATTGATATAGTGTCTTGTGGGGAAGCCATGAGGCGGTTGTTTATGCAACGCGCCTGCATGAATCGGGGAGATCGGTGTGCTTAATTCCCTCGGCAAAAGGCTTGGAGAGGCTTGCGTCGTCCTTGTCGCCTTGTTTCCTGGGCCGCATACACCTCTCGACCTCATCTACACGTTGGGAATGCCGGTGGGTATTTTCCACTTTTGAGGCTTTACAGATTGCGAGCATAGACAGCGGGAACGGAAGCACTAAGGTGGCGCAAAACACTCGACAGCATGGGCGTAAGCAGCCCTGCAAGAGCCGCCGAAGATGTGCCAAACGGAACAGTGGCCCAAATCCCTGGAGGTTTTGGTGTACATCTGACCTCGACCTGGCTTTGCCGGCGTTAGAACTACTGACAGCCGACAGCAGTCATGTCACGTACCTACACCGCGTACTTGCAGCCGGTAAAGCTTCCCTTTTTCAGCGGGCACTAGAGCAACATAGCCGATCAAGAAGTGCCGAGTGGAGGAAAATCCGGGGCATCCTTCCTATACTGTACAATTGTCGACGACCTTGGTAATTCTATAGCTACACACCGGTTATTCAAAGCTGAAAGCAACCGCAGTACTTGTTCGTCCATGTCAAGAAGGGTGCAACAGAGGCCCTCAGCTCGTAACATGCGACCCACGCCACCGCCCTGCCGTGCATGTTTCAAACAGCCCCACTATATCCCTTCCAACAATTCCACAAAGTCGTCTTTCACAGACAGTATACCGGTGCATGAAACAGCCACACAAAAATGACGGTAGTACAAGCATATATCCCCTACTTTTGACTCCACTTCCCGAAAAATTTATATCCGCGACCTGGGTGTGGAAGATTACCAAGTTGCGTTCCCTCAGAAAGAGCCGCGCTTGTCTTACGCAAGCCGGGCATCGGTTCATTCCGTCTAGTACCTGATCCGAGCGTCGCCATTCTTTCTGATCTAGACTCCGGATCTATTCTTCCACTGTCTTTCTTTACCCAAAATCCATAACAGCCTTACCGTACCAGTACGCAACGGTAAACGTCAGCACTAGATGTCTGCCACCCGTCGTGTAAATTCAACATCGCAGATAGTAATTACCCATTGTCGCCATTGGGCCTTCGATGGTACAGCGTTTGCAAACATTACAAATCCATTCTCAAACGCATTATATGTTATATCTCTCAGAACCCCACCTATAATTCAGCCCGTTCCTGTCAAAGACAAACATCGCAGCCCCGATGCATTAAACGCCATCATAGCCCCTTTTTTCCACACAACCCAGAAAATGGCAGGGTCTTCCCTATGCTATTACCACAATTATATACCACATGTCTGGATCTTTTGCGTCATCGCGGACTTTCCATGGCCCTTCGTATTTTCGATTTGGGCCCGGGCCGAGTAATCACGACACCCAGCTGGTGGCTGGTGGCATGACATGTCTTCTGTATATTGAGCCACGACACTTACCACTGACTTTATTTTTCAAAGAATGTTAAACTCCCACCGGCACAAGTCGACTTTGAATCGGGGGCTCTGGAGTGAGACGTTCCTCTACACCGAGTTCACGGATACGACATTAGCAGTAAGCCAGCACATCTACACGCATACGCGAACTTTCATTTGCTTTACACAGTTGGGGGAAGTACCGCATGCCGTGTGCTAGAAAGGAAAAAAAAACATCCCCCACAGTGAGCGCGAGCGTGCGTGCGTGCGCAACTCACCAAAAATCCCCATCCCCATTCCCATCCCTTATATCCCACATACCCGTCTCTCGGCCAGACTCTCGCTGCTGCAGCGGCGGCGCCACAAAACACCCGTTCCGCCACCAAAAAAAAAACAGATGAAACACTCACAAACAATTTTATACCCGGGATACGACACAGCTAGCCTCCTTTCATCTCCGAACCATATAATGTTGTTTCTCGAATCTGTCATACACGCTTCTAGCCTTTGCGGTCTGTAGAATCTAGAGTAACAAGGTTTGGGTCTAGACGTTTACTTACTGACGCCGTGCTTCCATTTGTGGAAATTGGGAATTCGTTCTAGAATGTTTCTATGGCTGGATCTGCGCCATTTGTGTGGAGGTGAGTTGAGTTGAGCTGGGAGTGGTAGGTAGGTAGGTGATAATCATCATTTTCAAACTCCATCAGAACAACTTTCGTCACACGTCGCTCCACTACCTTTCGTCTTCGTCTTCTCATAGCCTTCTCTTTCCCTTGAGAAGCTAACCCTCGTATTCGTATCTGCACATCATACCTCTCCTCCTCACCGTCCCGCACCCACCCGATAACGCTATACGATTACGCTCCGATACGAGAACCACAAAACGCACCCACCCAGGGTCCCGGTTCAACTTTCCGTCTCACGGCTCACGGCTCGTCATCTGTCTCACAGTCCTTCTTGCGCCACAGTCAGCAGTGCAAAAAAGTTACGATACGATACGGTAAGCACCAGCAAGTCAGCGAGCCATCCCACGTGGGATGATGCTGTAAGCAGCCGGTTGAGCCGCCGGGTGTATACCGTGTGTGTGCTGTGCTGTGCAGCGGGTAACGGTCTGTGTGTGTGTGAATACGAGGATGAAAGGTGATGATGAGGTTTGCATAGTTTCGCATAGTTTCGGACAACAGAGCTGCTCTAAACTGTACACAAAGGTAGTACGTGAGCATGGCATCCGAAAAGCGCAGCTCAAGGCGGAAATAGAGATATACGCAGACAGATAGGTAAACCCATGAATGAATGTAAAAAAGTAATTCCGCTACAGACGGACCATTGGAGTCACGCGCTGCCTCTTCATCCAGCCGTCAACCCACCAACCAACCAACCAACCAGCCAGCCAGCCAACAAGACGCTCAAACAAATAAGCCGCCCGCCTAAGAACCGATGCATGCATCCGCACCGTTATATCCCTATACCCCCGTAACTGTACCGTACCGTAACTGTACCGTACCGTACCCGTACCGTCTCTTCTCACCCGCCTGCATATTTCTTTCCCGCACATGACGAATGAGAAAATGACTGTATATATACATTTCGAATCAAATCGAATCGAATAAAGTAGCGACCCAAAGATCCAGCCAAAGATCTCAAGCATGTATGGCGATCAAACCCATATCAGGCGATCCAGCAACCGCATCAACCATCGTACATGATCGTGATCGCTAACAGATACTCATACAACACACACCACATACACAAGCGTCCCTAGCATCTCTCATTGCCCTAAAACCATCACAACTACCTCCTCGTCCCCTCAATAGCCTTTTCCAAACCCACAATCCTCAGACTCTTGCCCCTACCCAACTTACCGCTCATGAGACCCGCAGCAGGAATCAACTTGTCGTCCCAGTGTCTAAACAGGACCTTCATGTCGCGGGGCACGCCCTCTAGGACGACGGTGGTGACGGGCATAAAGGGCCGGTCTTCTTCTGAGACGGCGAGCATGCCGTAGGCTTGTGCGAACATGAGGGCGGTGGAGAAGGCGGGGGCTTGTGAGCGAGACAAGGGGCCGACGATGCTGGGATTGGGTTAGAAAAATTGCCACCGGGAAATATAGGGCCATGTGTGTATGACAACACAAAACACTTACATGTACATTTCGAAAAAGGCATCAAGGACGTAAATATTCTCCGGCTCCAAATCACGCTGGGAAAAGGGCATGATTTCCTTGATCTCGGTTTTGACCGTCCCGACGGGCGACTTTGGCGTAATTGGCGTCTGTGGCCTCTGTTCAGCAGCGTTCCAAGATGGTCTTCGTAGCAGCGGCGCGAAAAAGGAGCTGCTCACCTGGAGTGCTTGGCCCCATCCAGCCGGCTGGCCCGTCGTCTGTTCAATCTTGTAGAGGCGGACGCGATACTTGTCCGACGTGGCCTTGTAGCGCCAGTGGTCTGCGGACCGGGGGATGGCCGGCCCCTTGTTTGGAACCAGCGATGGTGGGAATGTGTTGAGCATGTCCTGGGGCTCAGAGCCTTCGGCAATCTCGGCGTAATCGCCTGTCGGTGCTAGGTCCATGCCCATAAGACGCGCGCCTGACACTTCTTCGGCCGAGCAGCCCCGGCCCTTCCAGAGGTACACTCTACCGGTGGATGTGGTGATTAGGTAGGGGAATGCGGAGCAGAGACTCTTGAGCGCGTAGTCGACTTCGTCAAATGCGAGGTGTCCGAGGTGGCGGCGACCGCATAGCATGAATTGCTTTGCTCCTGGCTTTGCACCACGTCTTGTGATTACAATACCACCCAGGGCTTCGAAGAAGTTGGGTGTCTCTTGGCCTTGACGCATAACGATGAGGCGTCCCTGATTCTGGCGTGCATGGTTCTTGGCAAACAGCTGTACATCTTCCAGTGTGGGCTCTGGCACACCATTGCCCGACCATAGATAGACATCGGTATGCTTAACACCCTTTGAATCTGTATAGATGTGTGTGCACAAGTACATTGAGTCTTGAAACAATATGTGCTCCTCATGAACTAGGATAGGGTAAAGTCTACCATCGCCTGTTACTTCTTCAATCTTCTTGCGCAGTGTACGAATTTTGCCTGTCGGACCGAGATCAAGCGGTGGTGACTTTAGTGTGTGCATTGTGTCTATGTTGTCCGGAAGCTGGGTGTCTGTCACCGGAGCATCGTCAAAAAAGTCTGCGAACATTCCATCGTGCTTTTTGACCGGTGAAACGGGAGGTTCAGAAAACGGTCTGTTTGCGCTTCCTGGTGGTGACATGGGCGCATTCCTAGGCAGCTGTGGCGTTGAGTCACGTGATCGTGATGCGACCAACCCGCTCAAGCTTCCCAAGCTGAAACCTAACCCAGCAGGCCTCGGCTTTGGCGGAACAGGCTCTGGTCGAGGGGATTCAGGCAGGGCCTTGTCTTCTGACACTGGAGAGCGGACGAGACCGGCATCTTTCATCGCTGCTCGTTCGTCTGCTTGTGTAGGGAGTTTGATCGGTGCTCTCACTGGTGCGGGTGATGAGGATGTTGTCGGTCTGCCCCACATGCTGGTAGCATTCTTGACTGATGAAAAGCCGGTCTTTTGGGGTGAGGGCTGATTGGTGGCTGGTGAGATCTCAACGTTGGGCGTTGAAATTCCTCTGAGTGGCGTGCATTTGGGGCACTCTACTGCTGGTTTGGTGAAACATGTGGGCAATGTCCGTGACAATCTCCAATGTGATGTATTCTCATGGCGAACGTGAGTTGGCTTTTGGAGTTTCGACCTGCTTCGGGAGAGGCGACTTTTGCGGCGTGCTATACGACCCGGAAACACGCTTCTCAAATTCTAGGGATGTAGGCTTCTTGGGGATTCCCGGCGAACCAATCTTAGGAGAGCTGATGGACTCTGGTCGGGGAGAGGGCTTGGGTGTGACTTGAGACCCCGATACCCTTCGGTCTTGGTCCACGGGTTCTGGTTTCTTGGACGACTCGGGTGTGGCGGTCTTTGAAAAGTTACCCGAAGATATACGTGCGGACTTGGCTGGTGTGGCAGGCTTCTCGGTCGATGATCTACTGGCTGGCGTTCTGGCTACTGGTCGCTGCTCTGGGTTTCCGTTAGTCTTGGAAGGCTCAGAGCTAGCAATTGCACGCTCAGAATTCACCAAGGGGACAGCAGCAGCAGTATGTACCTTCTCTTCAGCCTTTTCCGGTTCACTGGCCGTCTGTTTCGACGCCGGCGCTCGTCGCTTGGGTCCACGGGCCCGACCCTTGGTCATGTGTTGCAGTTCTGGTGCAGGTCCGGTCTTCTCTTGCGCAGGCCTGGTAGGTGACGCATCTACCTCAGCACTTGATGTAGACTTGTTCGTCGCTTGAGGAGGCGGTCCTCGAGCGAGCATACCGGCTAATGCAGGGTTGAAACGTCCCGCTAGCTTACCAGACATGGCCGGTTCCTTGGTTGGAGATGGGGGAGCAGGCGATGCTGACTTGTCGTTCATGATGGGTCTGACAGCGCTTAAGCTCTTCTTCCTGGCGAGGGCCTCTGGTATAGGCTCTTTTTCTTTCGAGGCCGTGGTCTTAGGGTCGCTATCTGCCCGGTGAAGACCTTTTGACTTCAGAATAGCTTCTGGTGTAGGAGCAGGCTTTGATATGCTGTCTGACCTTTTCAGGACGGAGCCCTCTGCTTGCGCCTTGTCGAAGATGACCGACTTCTTCTTGAGGAGACTCTCCTTGAACTCATCTTTCCGCACAGTAGGCTTGGGACCACCAGTTATGTTCAAAGCACCCTTGCCCCGCGTTATGTTATCTTTGAGGACGTCGGGTGCCACGTAGTTCTTCGTCTCTGTCTTTCTTAATCTGCCAAAGACGTTTTGCAACTCGTTCACTTCGTTATCCTTGGAGTTGTTTACTGGTAGTTGACGGGACTTCAGTCCGGCGCGGAAATCCTTCTTCGGCGCGGGCTCTGTCTTGGCCACTGGGAAGCCATTGCCCATGTCTTTGTTAAATCTCGCTGCTACCGGCTTCGCGCTTGTCGGCGCTGATGGTTCTTCAGTTGCTGAGGGAGAGGTGGGTGACTGGACAGAAGCTGGTGCGGGTGCTTCCTCTGCAGCCTTACCGGAAGGCTCCTTTGGGGCTTCGGGCTCGTCTGAGACTGGTGGTGCCTCCTCCGCAGGCTTTGGCTTCTGAGTCGATACAGACAAAGGCGCTGGAGATTGCTCCTTCACTGTGTCCATCTTCTTGGGCTCGACAATGTGCTCCTCCTTCTTTGGAGATTCGGGCCTGCGCAAGCCCACAGGCTTCAGTTGTACATCCTTGATGGGTGACGTCCGACCCGACCCAGGCGGCTCGCCAAACGGACTGCCCTTGCCTAGATCGACACTACTGCGCTGCTGCTTGATGCGACTGAGTTCAGCCATCCAAGCGGGCTGCGCTGGTGCTGATTGCTTCATCGTCTTAGGTGACTCTGGCTTGCTCAGCGCACTCTCCAACCAACTCGACTTTGTCTTTGTAGGGCTCCATCGTTTCGAAGGGCTTGGAGGAGATTCGTCTTGTAGTTGTGCGTCCTTTTCGCTAAACGTTGACGCGACCGACTTGGCTCTGCTGTGGCGGGGGAGGGCTGGCTTGACAAATTCTTCTTTCGGCGCGGCATCCTTGTCGGCAACAGTAACAGTTGCATTGCTGTAGCTCGAGGTGGGACGCGAAGAGGATTCGCCAAAGTTGTCTCTGCTCGCGGGCCGCTCGAGGAGGGAGAGGGTGCCATAGCCTGCCATGGCGCTCGAGCGGTTGCTGAAGGAGGAATTTTGCCTGCTCAGAACTGGCGGGTTCTGCGTACTCCATCGCTTGCTCACACTGTCGCTGCGCTTGAGCATGGCGCTCTGGACGAAGCCGCCCATGCCCTTTGTCGGTGACGCAGAGCGCTCCCTTTCTGGCGATATCCTCCCTTGGGTCGGCGACATGGCCATCCCGCGTGCTGCGCGCTCATTGTCCCCGCCGTCAACAGAAGAGGCGGGCTCTGAGGGTAGCGCAAACTTTTGCGACTCAAGCACCGGCAACGGCGACCGTCCCTTTGCACTCGGGTCTGCATCGCCGCCAGATATGGATGTGCTCGTGGAGAAGCGGTTGCTCATGGCGGTGCTCCCTCGCATGGAGCCGCCTCGTGACCCCGGCGAGCTCGAGCGTACGCTCTCAGCAGGCGGACTGCCAACTTCTGGCTCTATAGTCGAGTCGCGTGACATGCCTGGAAGCTGTCTCCTGGCCGAGACTGAGTCTGCGTCGGAAGCGGTGTCGTCTTGGCTTTTCCTAAAAGCAGCTGAGCCCCTCCCTCCGTCGGCTGACTGTCGGAAGAAAGCAGGGTCTTTTGCACCTAGCGAGGCGGCAATGGAGCTTCGTGAGGGGTTTACGTCGGGCGAAGAGGGCTCTGCTGTGTTTGTAGTCGACGGTCGTTCGGGGGAGCGCCCTGCTACCGAGAGCGGGCGCCGTATGCTGCCCGATTGCGGCCTCTGCTTCCACGAGAGCGTCCCTGATCGTCCCAGAGCGGCGGCGCTGGTCGCAGGCTTCTTAGGTTCTACATCTTCGAGTGTCACGGGCTGCTCCTCCTCGGCGCGGGCCACGACGTCTTGTGCCGGCGGGCTCATGGTCGGTGTGGGCGTACTGGCAGCCTGTTCCTGTACCGCTCTCGGGGTGCCGGCTGCAGAGCGTGGCGATTGCGGTGTATATGGCTTGTCGGGAGAGATTGACCGCGCTCGCTCTGTTTTGGGCAAATTATCAGCAGCTGTGACCATGTGTAAGGCGCGTGTAGAAAAAACAAACCTGCTCGCCGCGCTAGTCTCTCGCTGCGGCCTTGTATCAAATCTTCTTCCAACTTCTTCACCCGCTCGGCATCCTCTTGGTCTCGCTGGTCGCCGAGGCGTCGGATGCGCTGCACAAACTCCGAGGGGTCGATTTCCTTGTCTTCGGAAGACATGGTGAAGGGAGATGAGATGAGTAGGCTGGGCAGAGACACAGGCCAGTGTGCGCTACGGGACTACGACACTACGACTCGAGGGCAACGGCTGAAGCTGCTCGGCTGTCAAATGATTCCTGAGCCGATCACAGAGCTAGACGGTCGTTAGATTGCTTGGATTCGGTTACTTCATCCCCGGATGTGTTTCAGACGATGAGTCGTGGAGAGGCAGCGACGTAAGAATATCCCGGCTTGCAGGCGAACAGGCACAATCAAGAGGGCAAAAGGGAAAAGAGGGATGTAGTGATGGCTCAATGCATGTTTGTTTATGCCGTCAAATCCAGCTGCGAAGCTCCCACATGAGCGGTTGGAGCTTGTTCAGACTACCGCTGCACTACCCGTAGCTAGCCTTTGGGCTGCGTTGCCCCTTGCACATACATCCGTCCGATGCAGTAACATGTCGTGTTTGGCCGACGGTAATCAATACAGGAAGAGTCGCGCTTTTGCGTCCTGTACCACCCATTCAAGGCCCTGCTGCAGGTTCAGGCCCGTCATGGCACTGCAAGTCATAATATGCCATTTGTGTGTCTTGATGGCGTCGAGTCGCAGTCCCTGTACGCCGTCAGCATTGGCCCGCCAACAAGTTCCAACATCCGAGCCGTCGCCCACCTCGCGTATCTCATCCTCGCTCATGGAGCCAGGCACGTCGCTCTTGTTTTTGAAGACAAGTAGGCTGGCGCCTGAGAGACGCTGCATTTGTCAGTTCCATCCATGTCTTTGTTTGGCCTGAGGCTGGTGCAAACCTCTTCTAGCAGCAGCCCCGCCAACTCCTGCCGACAGTCGTCAATTCGCTCGCGGTCCGTTGCATCAACCACCCAGATGAGCGTGTCTGTCTTTTCGAAATAGTTCTTCCAATACGTGCGCAGCGTCTTCTGTCCGCCAACATCCCCTGGTCCGTCAGTATGCGCTTTTCCGGGAGAAAGCAGGTGCAGTACATATGTTCAGTTTGTACCTTGCTCATTAGTTCCGGGACATGGCACATATCGGGTCTCACACATACCCATCGTACTCGATCGTCTTGATAATGAAGCCAAGAGTAGGGCTGACACTGTTGACATCTTCGTTCATGATCTTCTTGACAATAGTCGTCTTCCCAGCATTGTCCAAACCCCTGATGCAGTAAGCCTCCGGACTTGCAGGCACACGGAAAGTACACACAGCATCAAGATGCGCATCTCCTTGTCCTTCAAACGTGCTTTCCGTAATATCGACAGCATTTTGTATTATTTGGAATCTTGGTACTGGGTCGGTCGGGGTGATGAGTGGAGCCAGGATGCGCTCTTCCAATCTTCGCTTAGTGGCCCGGCGAGACGCTTACACTGATGCAACGTCTGTATGCCAGCCAGGACTTGCTTTCCTCGCCATCTATGGATCCTGTCATAATTCAGAAATTCCCGGTACTACTATATATAGGAATCATGTGCAACTGTAATCAGCAGGACTACATGTGCTTTGTGGACCCGTAAATGCATTGCGCTTCAATCAACCATGGAACGAGCACTGAGTGAACTAGGCAGTTTGCTATCTGCTTGTGACCTGTACTGTTCATACAAAGAATGATATCCACATTTGCGAAGTACATGCCGTTTTCCTGGCACAAGAATCAGGGTCTGCTATTGTGGGAAGGTGAGATGGAGTCGGTGTCCACTCGATTAGGCACGCTAGTTGAGGCCTCGAAGCTGTATACATCGCACTTCTTTTAAATCTCTCATTCTTCATCCTAGTTACCTCTGTGGCTCTTTCTTTCTTCAGCATATTCTCTACCTTCCCGCTTGTCCACAGTTTACGGAAGCCTGCATCCCGAGCCGCGGAGTAACAAAAATGTTCTGTCCGCGCAATTCCCTCCCACCATCGCCGCCGATCGAGGAAATAGAGCTGAGAGCCGAGAATAACTCTATCGATGCTATAACAGGGCCAGAAAACCTGGCAATAACCTGGCAGCAAAAAACCGACTTTCCGCAAACTGTAAGTAAAGGCGGACTCACACTCACTCACCATCCTATGACGTACCCACCTCACACAGCCTAGCACAGCCCTATAAGAGGCTTACCTCCGCTCTCACTCTCACTCTTAATTAAGACTCTAACACACAATAGAAAACAAAGCGCAAGACTGGTCGTGTTCAATGGGTGCCGCTCAGTCTCGAGGTTGATCTAGCAGCCCAGGTAATAATAGCAGTGCACCCGAACAATAGCTGGGCAGCTCAGCAAGCAGAGTTTTTCACTACAGTCGAACAGCCGCGCCAAAAAGCACGTGGCAAGGCAGCTGCCTCGACCTCCGCTCACTCCATCACCCCACTTCGACTTGCACCTGCCAAACCTTTAGTCCCACACACACCCAACTCCAATAACGTACACAACACTTCAAAGCAGACACTCACAAGACCTTCGCGCAACAAGAGCAATACCAAAGACATCAAGATGTCTGCGCAACCCAAAGGCATGGGGTATCTGCCTCCCCATCTGCTCAAGAAGGACAATGCCAAGGGCAGAGAGTATGTGCCACCCCACCTGCGCGACGGCTTTATCAAGCCCAAGGAGTATGTGCCCAAAGCCAAGGAGTATGTGCTTCCACATCTGCGCAACAACTCTGCCGCCAGTGCCAAAGGTTGTGTGCCTATTCACGTGCGCAATCACAACTCTGCCAACGGCTCGCCTGCTATGTCGCCCAAGTCGAATAGCAAGCTTCACTCATCCCCGTAAGTCCTTAACCTCCAACTTCAGTCTCTTCTTAGACTCTCTAACAGCGATATAGCAATGGCGCCAACCAGCATCAAGGTGTACCACCCTCACCACCAACCACTCCACGGGAGCCAGGCCAGCCCAAGCTAGACGCCTATGGCGGTTGGGATTTCTCTGATTGCAACCTCGCTCCAGCTGGCAAGAAGGCCTTCGGCAACCCTCGCTGGCCCCGTGGTCCGCAACCGCACAAGAAGACGGTTTGGCCAAAGAATAGGGATATGAAGTACATCCCTCACAGCAGCGACGAAGAATGGGGCGTTCGCTCCCAATCTAACAGCAACGGAGACCCTGACTATGATGTCAAGAAGCTGTTGGATTGGAACGGTGAGTGGCTGCCTGCTCCCGAGTCATGGTCTTGCCGCAAAGGTCACGAAGACCGCCACTTCGGTCAGCACATTGAAGAATGGATGAACAAGGAATCTCCAGAGTGCATCAATCCAGTCTGCTTCCCCCAGCATGCATTCAATGGTCACGCAAAGACTACGAAGGTCGGTGACAAGACTCAAACCAAGTACGTCCTTGACGAGGGCCAGGTGTTGAAGGAAGTCGCACCTCGCTACTGGGCTGAGGCAAAGGTGGGCGGTATGACGATGAGGGATGCTCTGAAGGAGCTCTGTGACCTCAAGCTTGAGTCCGTGGATGCGCGTGACATGACGGATCATGCACCATGGTGGGACCGCTACGAGGACATCATCTACGCCGAAGATGGCCAGGACAACCCAAGTCCCTTTATCAACCCCCTCGAAGTACCGGACGCCAAGATCGACTTCGCCGATCACGATCCTCCTCTTGAAGAGTGGCAGTTGGCGTCGTCTGAGGCAAAGGTTCAGGCCAGGAAGAAGCGCATGGACGATAAGAAGCACAGGATGCTTGCCAGGCGCGACCGTCCCACAGCTTCACTGGCTCCACCCGCTGAGGATCGTCGTCTACGTCCAGAGGCCAACATCTACATTCGTCCTGTGCAGCCGGGTGACGTTAGAGGCATCGCTGTAAGTTATCTTGCTCTATATGTTCTGTGCGAGTGCTAACACCATCCATAGGAGATCTACAACTGGTACATTGATAACACGATCCACGCTGTCGAGTTTGACGGCCGCACCGAAGCGCAAATGGCTCAGCGCATCAGTGACATCACGACCGCTGGCCTGCCGTACTTGGTCGCAATCGACAGAGGCAACCGCTCCAGGCTCACAAACGAGTACGTCAACGAGAGGATCGTCGGCTTTGTCAAACTCGAAGACTACTGCGGCCAGTCGACCTTGTTCCGCTACACCTTTGACATGGAGCTCTTCGTCCACCCCGGTTTCGTCAAGAAGGGCATTGCCAAGTGCCTCATGGATCGCATCCTGGAAATGGTTGACACCAGCTACAATGCTCGCGGTGGATACCAGTACATCAACAACTTTGACTATCTGAAGAATGGTCCATCCAGGGTCATCAAGACCATCCTCCTCAACGTCCACCACAAGAACGGCGGTGAGTCGATGGAGACTGGATGGCAGAGCAAATTCCTCAGTGCCTTCAAGTTCAGCCGTTCTGGTCGTCTCCCCAAGGTGGGATACAAGAATGATAAGGTCATCGATGTGTCCATTTTCGCACATCACACCAGGGAGGACATTGTCGCCAGCGGCCGTCCGACCATTGCTGGTTAAGGCCTGACATCAAGGTAAGCTACCTATACACTCTATTATACAACTGCTGACTATCCAAGCGTCAGCGATAACCTCGACACGAGGGGAAGATGACTTGTGACGGAGTCGTCCCTTCCACATAGCTCAATTGAGCCCGTCCACCATGTTTCCTTTCAAAAGTCACCACACTGTCTTTCTTTTCTTGTTTTGCTGCTCCATCATACTGAAGACAAGGTATATCCTCGAAACTGCTTTCTCTTCTTGCATTCCAATACAGGTATCTGGCGATGGAGTTAGGTACACGGACGGCACCACTGCCACGGCATCTTCCGGGCTGGACTTTGGGAGCCTATTGCATCCAAGCATGCAATATACAGCGAGCCATATTTCTCTTTTCTTGTCTTCTGTAGAATAACATGTTTTTGCGCGAAACGATGGTTCTCATTCTGCATGATGTGATGCGTGAATCCCCCTTGTCGCGTTTCGCGTCCGTACCCCGCCCAAAAGGAAGACGCGTCGTCCACGGGAAACCACTGACGTCACAACGGCCGGCCTCGAAAGCCTGGCAAACACGACTGACGAACTTGTGAAACCTGGACCGGTCAAGCTAACATAAAGCCGTTGGAATCTGCTCTTATCCCGCTTCTTTTCTCCGTTTTCAAAGCTACACTATATCAAGTTTGTACATTGTCCATCACACATACACAGACATATCTAGGAAGCAAGAAAGCACATAGCCCATCATGTCCGACAAAAACGAAACCGAGCAACAACAGCACATCCCCACCGACCCCAAGCAAGAAGATGACTCCAGCGAAAAGCCCCAAAAAGGTCTCCTCAGTGCAATCGGTGATCCAGTCGGTACGTCCCCCTCCCTGCCTTCCCTCCCCCTCCTCATCCCCTTCCCTCCTCCCAGCCCTAACCCACCCCAGGAAACGTCCTAGGGACCGCCCTCCGCCCCATCGGCGCACCCCTTGAAAAAGGCGTAACAGGCCCCCTCGGCAACGCGCTGGGCGGCACAACACGCCCAGCCCTAGGTCCTCTACTCGGCCACGACGAAGAGAGGAGCGAACTGCTTGGTGGCGAGAATAAAGATAGTTATGAGAGTCGGCCTGATAAGATTGCTGGGAGGGAGCAGACGGGGCAGAATCCGTTGGGGTTGGATGGGAGTGGGCGGTGGGGGTTTGAGGAGGAGAAGGGGGGTAAGAAATAAGGGAGGGTAGTTAGAACATCTCGCTCATACCACTGTTGCCTAGTACACCAGCGCCGTCGGCGTCGGCCTGGCTATACTCTTCTTGTCCATCTTCTTCTTCTTCCCCGTGAATCCCAGCCTCATCCCACTCACGCTCACGAACACCTCTCTTCCCCCTAAATGTATCATCCAAACCCCTAACCGTACCCACACTACTCTCAAACTCAAACTCCTCCCCCTCCTCTCCATCCACATCCACATCCAAGCCCTCACCACCATCACCACTTCTCCCCAACACCCCACTCGCACCCGCACTCTCCATCCACCGATTCGTCCGCCCAGTTAAAATCTCATACAAACTATCATCAGACCCCTCACCCTCATTGTCCACGTCTATCTCGCCAACGCCACCAACACTGTCTCCATTGGTAGTGGTGGTGGCGGCACTACGTTTGAAGCGTAAGATGGCGTCTTTGCCCTCTGGCCAGACGACCACGTAAGCGGATTCGTGGGCGAAGAAGAAGGCTGGTTTCTTGTGTGGAGGTGTGGGGAGCCAGGATGTTGTGAACTTATATGGGGATTGTGGTGGTTGTTGTACCGACGTTGGCTTAGGGGTGCGCATGTGTGAGGATAAAGAGAGAATCTCCGGTGATGGTGCCGTCTGCGAGCGTTCCTGCGAAGATGAAAGTTGTACTGAATCATCCGTAAACAAATAAACAGCCGCCTCCTCCCTCGCCGTGCGTATCAACAACCTTCCCGCATGATCTGGATGCCAAAGCAGCGCCTTAACAGGACTATACTGCACCGCAATACATTTCGGCCTCAAACTGCACAAGTCCCATATCCACACCGTACACGGCGTGCTATCGTCGCGGGTAGCGCACATGGAGCCGTTGGCATTGAAGCACAAGAGTCCGATGCCATGTTTCAACAGCCCGGTATCATTCTTGTCGAGCGGCGCCTTGGGTGGTGTGACAGGTTGAGGTGTAAGCATATAACTCCTAGCGCCAGTGTTATCAATCGTTTCGCTGTAGACAGGTGCGGTGGGAACATCGATGACGGGCGTGTGATCGAGAAACATGATGGGCGCGAATGTACGGGTTGATAGTATACGGACGCGTCTGTCCCAGCCGCCGACAGCGAGACGCTCGTTTCCAGGGATCCATTCTAGGGTTTTTACCCCAAGGCCTTCTACGTCCCATTCGCTTACGTCGTCGTCGTCATCGTCGACGGTGCATGTCTCGCGCGTGATGGTGCGGTAGAGGTGGCCGTCAGCTGTGTAGATGTGCAGTTTATACCCCGTGGACGCGGCGTCCCAGATGGCGAGCCAGCGGCCGTCGCGACTCCATTTTAGACCTGCGACGTCCGTGGTAGGCAGCTCGACGCGGTTGAGCACTGTGTATGTGCCAGGGGCGAGGAGTAAGAGGATGTCACTGCCCGCAGCGCGACATAGTAACGCTAGCACATTTCTTCCTCCTGCTCTTGCACCGCCTGTTGATGCGGTGGTGGGTTGAACGGGTCGGTATCCCCATCCCCTACCCTCTTTGCCCGGGAATTTGGGATCTCGTATCTCCACCGCTCGTCCAGTTTTCAAACACCATATCTTGATGCAAGAGGTAAAGTCACTCCAGACTAGTACTTCGTCCTCTGTCGCGCCAAACTCGACGTGTACGTTCTTGCCCATGCCGCCGGAGCCATTGCTTATTACAGCGTTCCATTTCTCGTCGCGGAGGTCGTATACGCGCGTCGTATCGTCGTCGTATACAAGGATACGGTTCGAGTAAGGTTGTGGTGGGCGTGAGGGGCGACGGGGAGGCGTAGACGTAGAGGAAGGACGCGATGGTGCTGAAGGCAGCAGTGGCGTGGTCGGCGGTGACCACACAATCTTCGAGCTCTTCAAGTCATGGCTCGATGGTATTGCTATATTTCGTACAATCTCAAACGTCGTGAGGCATTGTATCTGCAAACGCGCGCCGCTGAGGCATGCGACGTAGGATGCGGTTGGTGATGGGACGGCCGTCGATGTCGCTGAACTACCTAGTCAGTACTATGCCAGGGGAGATTGCTAGATTGCCTACACCTGTACTGTGTCGATACGACTACATTCTCCATGTTGGAATATAATCCAAGCGTCGCAGCGGGTATGCAACGAGGATGTTTAGGTTAGTAAACAAAGCACGGGAATTTGGCCAATAGGGGCTCAAAGCGGCCGCAACTAGCGCGAGCCGATGATGTTGGGGGGGGGGGGGAAGGTAGTCGAGCATTTAGGGACAAGTCGAGTGTAGTTGAAGGTTGCACTTGAAAAATTCATTTAATGCTTAGATATCCCCTCGTCATAATTCCTCTTCCAGAATACCACAAAATACCTCCGACAAACTCCCACGATATAGACCAAGAAGTATCCATTTCTACCAAGCCTAACCGTAACAGCAGCGAGGGTATCGGTATGCACATGAGAGAAGAAATCCAACCATCAAACACTTTAGAAGAAAAGATAAAATCAGACATTATAGAAACGTCCGGGGTATAGTCCCACCTTCACAGTAGATCCAATCTGAAAAGAGACCGGACTGTATATGCAAAAGGTGTGTACATATGGAGAAGGCGATAAACCAAACGCTTGCTTGCTGCTAGATCGCTGAATCCAAACCATCTATCACCATCGTTGCTCATTTACATTTTGACAGCACTCATGTGCTGTACACAGGCGCCTTTATCAAAATGCTCTTGCCGCGGATTTGCACTGCCACACCCACAGCCATGCGCACGCGCGGTGGTGCAGAATCTTCTTTTGGTCCACCAGAGCTACCCGGTGGGTTTTGTGTGAGACTTTGCTGGCTGCCTCCCTGACCCAGGGTAGACTCTCGGCTGCCGAGGGTAGGAGGACCAGCGACCTTCTTCGCACTACCAAAGCCAAACATGCTACGCTTCTTCTCTTCTTTGGGAGGTTGGCTGCCCTGGAGATGTGCTTGCTCTTGCTCCGCAATAGACAAGTTATCATCGTGCTTGGATGCCATGCTTCGGACTGAAGCTCTATCCGCATCATCCAGCTCCAAGATTGGGGCCGTCAGCGTGGGGATGCCAGACTCTATCTTCATGAAATCTGGTACAATACCGTGACCTGGCGGAAAGTACTCAATATGTACTTCTCGGCTCTCGAGTGGTAGATGTTGAGCAATGCTGACAGCCAGCTCGATAATCATGGGAACACCGCCGTTGAGGTCTGGAGGAGCGGGGTCATTAATGTGCATCTGGAGAGATGCAATGAGCTTCTCGTTGAGCGTCTCGGTTAGTTTCTCGCGATAGATTGTAGCCTGTGGCGCTCTTAATGTGTCTGCAAGGCCTTCCAACGTAGCCAGTCGCCAGTTGATGATCTTTGCAGCAAGCGACTCTTCATCTTCTGTACTGTGACACGGTGGCGCAAACCTGCGGATATTCGAATGAATCGACTGTAGTTGTGTCGAGAAGCCCGGCTCGAGATCGGGGTGAAAGTACTTGTCGAAAATGTTCTCAACCAGCCAGTGGGAGATGAAGGCACGGCCAACCGCAGTCATTTCTTGCTTACCCGTTTCCACAGCTGTTTTGTTGACGACCACATGCAACCATTGCGGTATACTCTTCCAGTCCTTGCGGATAGAAAATGACAACTGCGCTATTAATCCGTCTAACCGATTGAAGCGTGTCGCATATTCACTGTCATCCCAAGATGTGCGCGAAAGAGATAGTCGTTGGTTTGCGAGAGTGTTCTGCAGCTGGTGAACCTGCGTTTGTTGTTCGAAGAAGTATCGTTTGACTTTTTGGTATTTTTCGCCTGGAACATGTTAGACATAGCTAGCAAGTAATAATACTATACTTACGCAACACGTCATGCTCCTTCATCATCTTTTCGATTTCGTCGTCCGTCATATCGCTAGCAGCTCCCCTTGGCGGAGGTGTCGCCTGGCCCATTTCTGAAACCTGCTGACTTTGCTTCTCACCTCGATATGGCTGTCCTTGTGAAGCTGTTGGTACGACGTTAGCGTCGAATGTTGCGTGGCCCGGCGATACAGGCGGTTGACCGGAGGGCTGACCTTGAGCGGGGGGCTGTTGGAGTAGAGACGACTCTCTTGACGGTGCGCCTGGCTGCGACTGACTGCCATCGTTGACTTTCCTCAGCGTCCTATTTCCCTGCGCACTAGGTGCCATGTTGTCCTGGCTCTGCTGTGGTGGCGTCACGTTGGGCGTTTGCGGCTGCCTCACTTGCTGTGCGTCGTAGGATTGGTAGGACGGGGGCTGAAGCGGCGATGGTGGGGCAATTTGGTGGGACGAGGGCGGTTGTAACTGCGATTGTTGCAGCTCGACTTGTCTGACCTGTTGTACAATTTGAGGCAGGTTTCTAATCGGCTGTGGGTGCTGTAGATCAGGTTGCGGTGCAGTTTGTCGAACAGTTTGTGGCTGAGAGTCTTGCTGCGGCTGAAGCTGTGTCGCAAACTGTTGTTGCGGTTGTTGCTGCTGCTGCTGCTGCTGCTGGTGACGGTGAACTTGCTGCGTCGTGTCTAGCGACGACTGGCTTTGCGCGGCTTGTTGCTGGTACGGGTAGTAAGTTTGTTGCGTGTCTTGAGGCTGAGGGTTTTGCAGTAGAGGGCTTGGCGCGTTCTGTGGGTTAAAGGCCTGATATTCGGTCGGACTCTTAGAATGCTGGCCAACAGGCTGGTAGGTCTGGTATCGCTGTGAGGGGATATGCTGCTGTGGTTGCTGTAAACCCTGGCCTTTGTGTTGTTCAGCACTGTACTGATCAGCTACCCCGCCTTTGGTCGAATAGCTGCCCTCGGTGCCAAGTGGGGGCCGATTGTATTGTTCCTGTTGTGGCTGCGGCGCAAACTGTTGAGGGTGTTGGAGATTCTGCTGGTAGGGGGTGTCTTTGGGTGGCACCTCGGGCGTCTCTTCACTGGCCTTTTGGAGGAAGGGGTCAAGATTGTCTTCGTCTTGCTCGTCCGAGGGCGGCAGATGTGAGCTAGACCCCTGTGGCTGATGCCACTGCACGCGACTTTCTTCTTGCGGCTGATAGTCTGGTATGCGAGAGTCACTCTTGCGGACGGACTGTCGTCTACCCACGCCGTTCTTCTGTGCCTTTGCTTCCTCGGCCTTGTGTCCCTTGACGCCGGCTGCGATGCGGCTGCGCAGCGACTGCTTCTTGGGCTCGGGCGTGTATGCAGCAGGTGAAGATTGGGGCTGGTAAGAGCCGCGACGAGGGGATTCAAGGCCTTGTGCTGGCTGAGGACCCGTCTGGTCGTGATAGTTCTGTGACGGGCCCAGGGGGAGATGTGCGCTCAGCCTATGGCTCGGATTGCGCGTGGGAAACTGTTCTCTATACTGGGCCTGGGCTGCGCTGGCCTGGAGCTGGTGATCTACAGGAGGCTGCTGGATCTGTATGGGCGCTTGTTGGCTCTCAGACGTCTGATATCGCAGCGCCGGCCCTTGATCGTGTACTGCCAGTGCTTCCTCGTCAGCCGGACGGACGATTGGCCGCAATGCTGGCTTACCAGTACTAGATGGCACAGGTGACTGCTGCCCTGACGAAGTATTGTCGACAGATTGGTGCGACCGATTCGACTTTGTCCACGGGAAGTTCGGCATGGCAATGATTGCAGCTTCGCGCTCCGCCTTGGAGCAGTCGAGGATGATGGCGGGGCGGATGCTCAGCTAATAATAAACAAGTCTGAGCAACGATCGACGTAGGCGCACCCGGGGCAAGGCTGCATTGCGCGCGCTTGGACGACTGAGTGCCTATGCCTTGAACGATCAAAATGTCCACCAAATACATGTGCGTCTTCTGTCAGCCCCAAGCCTCAGGCACGTGCAAAGCAAATGAATAGCCCCAAAACCAACAAATAGCGGGACGAGGCAGCGTGCAGTGAGCACCCGAACGAGATGGTGATATCGCGGCGGTGGCAGTGCTGACTACGCGATGCTGTATCCTCTCTGCACTCATATTACCATACCACACCCACCGTCTCGCTGAAGGCACACCTGCATCTTGTTTGTTCAGCTTTGGCCATCACGCATCTCATCGGCACATAGAAGCACACAGAAAGCAAACAAAGTCCAAACACACACGTACACACAATCGTCCGTTATCCTGACGGATGCAACAGGAAGACCAAGTGGGGAACACATGTGTGCTAGTGTACCGGTAGGTGGAGAAGAGCAAGCCCTGAAAGCTGGAGCCTTGCCTTGGGAGTTCCTGCAGGCCCCTGCCCTAGAATCTGCAACCATTCATCACCTCAGCTACCAACCTGTGCCGCACTCTTTTCCTGGTGCCCGGACACAACAAATGGAACCGGGCCATATGTCCAAGGAAACACACGGCTGCAGACATGTTTGCAACACGAGCCCTAGATTGTTTTCTCTACTTATTCACTTGTCATGTTACTATTTTTAGTGGCTGACAAAGTGCTAGCCTGATATCGCCTAGTGTATCCCGCTTTCGCTTGCTCTCTCCCGCACAAGGTTTCCCCGGCCGTCTTTACATCTTGACATGACGCTTCCATTAGTTACTTCTAGAAGACTGATAACCACTACTTTGCCGCTACTCGTCTATCTTGGACTCCAACAAGAGTTGGAGTCACGGGTACGAGTGGAAGTTTTCACTAAGCATGCATGTCAGAGCGGCTATGCATCCCTTCGGTGTTGTAAAGTCATGCCACTGCACAATTGCGGCACCGCTAGGGTCGGCGTCAACACGAGACGTGTTACTTCGGACGAATTGTCTGAGAGGATGACTTCGGACAAATTGTCTACTAGGATGGCTTGCGGGATGATTTGTTAGTCCTGATTGAAACGCCGTATATGACGTATCGTCAAGTTTTCAGATTCAGTGTTCTATTCTAATACGAAGCCCAGTACAACAAGCTACTACTCATCTGATAGTAGCCATCTCCCCTCCCAAATAAATCCCCACAAAAAATCAACATTCCCAAGACCTCCAGAACTCCAACACTGTGTGAATATAAAACTCCAAACTCCAAACTCCAAGTCTTTCACCGTAATCATTTCGTATCCCTTAGTTCTCGCAGATATCCCATGTGACATGGTACCATACCCCCTTAGTCTCACAGATATCCTGTAGACTCCGCCCACTATCTCCCCCTCATCACCATCGCCAAAACATCCATTTCCTCCCCTCAGCAGTCCCCTTGACAACATGATACAAAATATAACCAGCCCAGGCAATCATACCAACAGATACACACGCGAGAAACAATATAGCCACTTTAACGCTCGGCTTACGGACCGTATCCTCGAGTCCAGAATAGGCGTAGTAGGATGACAGCGGGGTTTGATCTGGCTGGGGGTGGGTTTGCGCTGCCTGCGTCTCAGTGTGCGTGTGCGAATGCGTTGTCTGCCCAAGATTCCCCATCTCAACATCCTCAGCACCACCATTATTACCGCGTCCACGCGTCCAGAAAAGTGGGAGAAAACTTCTAGACGCTGCGACGGGTGTGGGTGTGGGTGCGGAGCGGGGAGGTAGCTCAATGGGGAAGGGCTGTTGTTGGCCAGTTGGGTAGACGCGATAGGATGAGGGTCTGGCGAAGGGTTCATAGGATGGTGGTGATATCTCCTCTATGGTAGATGGAGAGGGGTCGGCGAAGGGGTTGGGGATGGGTGGGTTTGGTGAGTTTCGCATTTTGAAGGTTTGGTGTGTGTGTTGCCGGTTTGGAGGCTGTGGGACACTGCTTGGACGACCTTGGGAGGTGGATGAGTTGCCTGTGTATGGGAGGTTTGGATGTGTGGATGTTTTATAGGCTGGGAAGTCTGAGTTGGTGATGTGAAAGGTGTGTGGGTGTGAGTGTACTAACTTTCAAAGTCTCGAGGATGTAGAGGATGTAGATGAGAGAAGGAGTATCCTTCATTTATGATCAGTTTAGATTATTCCAGTGAATATTTCCATGGTTCGGTGTTTCTGTGCTGACCATCTGAACCATGGAACCACGATCAGGGCAAAAGTCTTGCATCACCAAATAATTTCAGCGTACACGACATGTCACTCGCTCTTTCTATTCGACTCATCGATAATGACGGTAGCGAAAGACCCCCAGGCCAAATCAAACCGTGTATACCCATAATTGTAGCCATTCAAGCACAAGTATGATGCAATCAATGGAAACGTATCTTTTCAAAAAGTGGTATTACTACATGTACACGTACTAGATACAATTAGTGTATCCCAACTACGACTGCTCATCCACATATCCCAATGCCTCTCCTACCTTGACCTTCTTTCCTTGCTCGATATTCCATTTGAAGCCTCCCTTCCTCTCAGTACGCGTACCAGTAAAGCCCTCGTCCAGACTTGGCCTGATACCCTTGGGCGCCTCAAACACTAGCACGATGGTACTTCCCAGTTGGAAGCCACCCATCTCTTCACCACGCTTTAGTGCGTGGCCTCCTAGGACACGGCTTGCGCTAGTGTAGGAAGCTTCGGCGAAACCAGAGTAGGGCTCGCCGCGCGCAGCAGCTTCCTCGGCTGCACGGTCAGCTGCAGTGTCAGTGGTAAGGCTGTTGGTGCGGAGTTCGCGATCGAAGTTGATTTTGATGGAACCGACGTTGGTGGCACCCACGGGAGTGTAGGAGAAGAATCCCCAACGCCATCGGCCGAGCAAGACTACTCGCTCGTTTAGGGTGAAGAGGCCGGGCATGGTGCGCTGGAGATATGGCGAGACACTGTATAGTTCGCCGGCAAAGTGACGACGCGATTCTACAACCCAAGACACGGGGGAGTGGAAGCGATGGTAGTCGCCTGGTGCAAGATACACGACACAGTAGTACAGCGCTGTAGGCGTCTTGCTTGAAGCAGGAGCCCACCATGGGCGCTCAGCCTCGCCCAAGGCTAGATCGGCGCGTACTTCGGCCTCTGAAGATGCAGCTGATCCAGTAGATTGGTCGGTCGGCATCTCGGCGGGCTTCCCACCCTTTGGCCAGGGCCCAGAGAATAGGTTAGGTAGGGTATACGAAATGCCGTTTACATTTGCAAATTCCTCGTCAGCACGGACGACATCTTCTTCCGCCTCTGATGTCTTCTCGTGCTCCCCGGCTATAACTTGTGAGTTTGCGACGTTTTGACCGGGTTTGCTGGGTCGGGTAGATCCTAGTAGAGCGTCCAAGCTATATGTCACGCCCTTGACCTGCTCGACCTCGCCATGCTCAATGGTACCAAACTGAATTACTTTGCCATCGGCAGGTGAGAGTACGGCGTTTGGGTTAGGATCGAGAGGACGGACGCCTGGCTTAAGCGTGCGGTAGAAGAAGGCGGCGAGATTAGGGTAGACATGGAGATCCGGTTCGGAGACTTCATCGAGACTATGGACAATTAGTAGACTACTCAATACCGCTCGGATGTGACTGACTTGACACCAAATATCCAGGAGTAGAGCTTGAAGCCAGGAACTCGAAGGTAGTATGGAATATCGATCTCGTTGAATCGACCCCACACCCGCGAGAGCGCCTTGAGAGGTAGAGTAGACATGACTTGAACAGTCCATGGCCCGCTCGGTCGTATCCTCTCGCGCTTCTTCGGGCGACCTTGTTGATCTAGTTCCCCATCTTCACCATTCTCGCCCGCTTGACTATGCTTCTCTCTCCGCTGTATCCGATAGAGTTGGAATGCGCCCAGGAAGCCGATACCCAGTGCTATTGGTATCGGCTCCCACTTGACCTTTGTGTTCTTGAGCGCCGAATTGAGCCGTGACCTAAACGACTCTTTTCTGTGAAAGTTTTGCTGCTCGTACGTCCCTCGGGTAGAAGAAAAGGTGCGCGATGGGGTAGGGACACGCGCATATCGTTGTGTGGGGGCGTGGAGTCGCGGTCGGATGGGTGCTCGCATGAGCTGGCGTGAACAAGAGGACGCCATGATCATATTCTATGCATTGGAGACGACAGGATTGATTCAACCCGATATCGCAAGACGAGTCGAAAGCGATTATCAGACGACTTGATGAAGCCAAAGACGGCGCGTAGAGAAAATCAACTCCCTCGGTTGGCCAATGACGTACCCACACTGACAGGGTCTAGCGGCGCAGCGGCGATCGGCTCGGAGGTGTCGCCATTGAAGCTTCACTGTCGCATCCATGTGCAAGAGTGACAACGCTGCTAATAGTGGATTTCAAGTGACGGAAAAGGCCAGACTCACAGTTTATGAGCGCTTGTCCCAACTTGTCTTGCAAACTCGATTGCATGGAAGGGCGCGACTTCACCGGGCGCTGATTCGGAGCTTTAAGCGCAACGTATACAAACACGTCGTCAACTTCCCAACTTGCAACACGCCACCTATCACTATAACCTCTCATTGTCCAGACAGTCAGCATGGCCGAAGGAGAGCAGACGATCAATCTCAAGATCCTTTCGCCCTCGACTGAGGTGGAAGGCGGCGTGAACCTCGCAGATGTCCCCGCATCTACTACGGTCAAAGAGCTGAGGAGTCGCATTCAGAATGCCGTGCCCTCCAAACCAGCGACGGATAGGATGCGCCTGATATATAGAGGCAGAGTGGTAGCCAATGACGCCGAGACACTGGGCAATGTCTTTGGTACCGACAACGTATGTTTGACGTGTCTTATCGTGAATGACACTGACAGCTAGGCAGATACGTGAGAACAAGGACCAGAGCCTTCACCTGGTTCTACGAGAACTACCCGCCAACGAAAATCCGCCCTTCCGCCCTCCCCAATCTCCCGCTGCTCTGCCGACGAACCCATTCCGGACGACGCCGCAACCTCGACCGAACCCACAGTCGCCCACTCCCCACCACCACCATCATCATCTCCACCCCCATGCCCATCATCATCACCATCTTGCCGGACAGGGCAACCCGCTTCCTCTGCTGGTGCCACTTCCAGTTCAACAATTGGCTCGTGTAGCGGCACAACAAGGGAATAGACAGGCTCCAGGCCAGGCGAATGAGCAGACTGAACATGGCACACCAGCACAGCCAGGTGGTCCAGTCCCCTCTTCTGAATCACAAACTCCGCCACCATCAGGATTGCCCAACCTCCCTGGCAATAGTGAGCGGCCACTACAGCGAAACCCATTTGATCCTACTGGCGCCCGGTGGACTGTCACATACAACCAAGTCAATATACCTGCCGGACTTCCGCCTGCTCCGTTTCCCATCCCACCGGCTCTAGGATTTGGTCGTCTACCCATCGCAACAGGGACTCCTCCGCCAGGCCTTGACAACAATCAACGCTTGTTGCCTCGTCTGCAGAGAATATTTCAGGAGACTCTACGAGAAATGGAGAATGTTCGGACACTGCTACATACTCCTGCTGAACAAGGTGCACAGGCTGGTACGACAGGGTTGACTTCAC